TTATTAAAAATAGCTTCGGAGTAGCTAGTTTAGTACCTTTTATACCTAATCGAGTGATCTCGAAGCTAGATATTTAACTTCGAACCCCTACCCCCTAAGCCGGGGGAGTGAATTAAGTCGAAATTTTACACTAAACACACTAGCTACAGAGAAAGAACTACGTCGATAGGCTTCATTAATCAAAGCTTTACTTCGTATAAGATCTCGAAGCCCGCCTAACCCGTTAGATCGTGCATTAAACCAGCTTATAAAAGGCTTCCGTCTTATAATACAAGGTGTTATCTTACTCGCTAAAGAAAATAAGGAATTACGCGCCACTAACGAGAAGCAGAAGTAAAGCGCATTCGATCTCGAGGGTAGATACCCGGCGAGGAAGGCCTCTTAGTTTAAGAAGCCTCTGCATTAATTATGCAGTAACAGGCAGTAACTAAAGGACCTCCCCCCGGCCCTAGCATACCTACAGAATCGGCTATTCAGCCACGTACGCGGGCCCCCCGGGGGTGTGGAATATGTAGGAAGCCAGGACATAGAAGAGAGACATTTTCAGATAGGCCAGTCAGTTAGTTGAATTGATTTTAAGGGCGTCATGGTTGAGATAAATGCATTTAAATTTAATGGGTTAGATGGGGTGCGTCACTTGGGGGTGTGCGCCACTTGGGGGTGGAATACGTTAGTTAGTACACTAGTAGTCACCTAGGTGAGATACTATAGGATATACTATAGTAGCATAATATTATTAATAGTGTGCTTACGGTGACAACCGATAATGCCTCTAATAATAAAACACTTACGGAGAGCCTTCACTAGTCGATCGAATAGCTTAATCTCCTAGATAGTATACGAGTTATACGAATTCTATGCCTTACCTATGTGATCTAGCTTAGCTTAAAGGACCTCCTTAGGTCAATAAAAGCTAACCTAAATTGTAACGGGCCACTGCCCGGTTGATATCACGTGCGTGCACGTGACCTCCCGCCCACCACCTTTCATCTACGCTCGACCCCGTCAGTTCCTACTTCTCTCCTTAAGCTTTTAGATAACTGCAAACGGCTTAGTTTAAATCAAGACTGGCTGCGTCCCTTCACATTCTAAAAGCTTCCTCTTCCGTAAAGATCAGAAAGAGTACGGCTAAATAGGCTAACGCGCACCGACGGAAAGCCCTAGAAGCACTAGGCATAACGACGAAATAACATGATGGAAAACACGGAGCCGTTAAGCCCACCCGCATAAGCCCGGCTAATAATATAGCAGATAGTATAAGCCGCTACTAACTAAGAAGAGAAAGCGCACGAGCGTAAGAAGAGAGGATCCGATAGCTCGAAGAGCTAATCCAGACGAACGTACCCGCACGGCTAACACTAGCAGCGGATATAACACATAAGACATACGACCGGAGCCTAGAAGCTAACGAAGGCCTCGACTAAGGCCCGGTCGGCGCGAACCTAACCCGACGCCCCCGTACGCGACTACCTAATCCCCCTACCTTTAAAGGAATTAGGACGGAATGGCCTATATTCCGAATGTTAATCGAGAATAAGCTACTACTCGACGTGGAGGCTCTTAGAGACGAACGAGTATATCTACTAGACTTCGGCAGAACCCATTTTGGGTCGGAACCTCTGACCCAAAACCCAATGGGTTAAACCCAATAACCCAATAATAACCCATTTGAACCCATTTAAACCCATTTTTGCATAAAAGATAGGTCTTGGCGTTCATAATAATGCTAAGTCATTCAAATAAATTACTGTTTTTCACAGCTGTTCTGGTTTATTCATCAAATATTACTACACTATCACAATATTAAGTTAGAAAATTTATATAATTACCCTGAATTTAAAGCTAATAGGCTTTATATTATATTGATTACTGATGAAAATTCACATTAATCATAGTATAGTGGTGTTCTATTAATTTAATCATTTATTGACTGTAGACTATTAAAAATATATATTTATGGTAGAGGGGAGTATGTATATATTATAGGATAACTATGAATATAAATAGAAATATCTTATTCTTATTTAATTTTATATATAATTAATATTATATTAAAGCTATATTTCTCTTCTCTTATATTTTCTGACCGCGGTCAGAAAAGCCCTTCTAGGGGGGTGTAGGTGTATATATTATTATCTCTGACCGCGGTTAGAAAAGCTCTTCTGGGAGGGTAAATGAAACATTTTTAAGGGATCTTCTGGGGGAGTGGGTTATGAATAGGTCCTCTTAGGTTTTAATGGGTTATAAATGGGTCCTCTTAGGTTTCGATGGGTTATGAATGGGTTCTCTTAGGTTTTAATGGGTTATGAATAGGTTCTCTTAGGTTTTAATAGGTCCTATTAGGTCCTATTAGGTTCTCTTAGGTTAGACCCATTTAAATAGAGCTTATATAGCTAATTAAATAACATTATAGCTTATACCCTTTAATCTATCTACTTTACTATAGGACTAAGGTGTTTACCGTTCATATACCCTTCTATTATAAGTATATACTCTCTCTGCCTTTCCCCCTTACCTCTATAGTATTCCCCTTTTCGGTCGTAATGTCCTAAAGCCAGCATTCTGACTTTTTACCTACTCTTTACGATGCGGATATAGATAACCTTAGCTATCTTATACCCTCTTCTCGAGTTCTAACCCTATCTAGTAGCCAGCTTATAATTAACCCTTTTAGTGCTATTAATACTAACTTCCTTCGGCCCTCTAACCTTCTACTAATTCCACACTCTCTTACTCGCGTTAGCCCCGATCGGAGAAAGGCATATGTGCTTTATGATAATATGGCATATAAAGAATGGGTTAAGTGGTGGCTATAAACCGACTATAGGCAGAAAAAGTAAGATTTCCTAGGATTTAAATCGTAATTTAAATATATAGAGTAACTTCGACTAAGTTACACATCTTATCTTTAAGATTTATAATGCCCTCTTTAATCACTTTTTTAAAGCAGAGGCGCTACTTAAACGTAAGCGTGTTCTATAGAAATCAGATATACTTAAAGCACCTATAGCTAGTCGCTTAAAACTTAATGAGTACTACTCTTAAACCGATAATCTTAAAGGACATATCTATATAGTTAGGATAATGCTAGCACCTAATAGCAGATTTTAGTTCTCTCTATCTAATAATTAGGAGCCTCACTAGCGTGATGCCTACCGGAAATCGTTCTTAGAATTATTAATTCCGTATTAAGAGCGTCTTATAATAAATCAAGGATCGACTAATACTCTAATAATAGTATTATCTAATTCTAGGCTAAATAAGATACTAAAGAGTAATAAGATATCTATAAAGCTAGCTAGTGATAAGATAACTTAATACCTCGATAGTGGTATGTTCATAATCTATTTCTTCCCTATATAGGATAATACTAATATATTTATACTACTAGATCTAATTAATATTAAACCTCTTTAATTCTAGCGGGAGAACTAATCTCGTTTCCCTACGATCGCGTTACTTACTCGCGATATTCTCTCTATTCTAGTAATTAGTACTAGTGTCGAACGGCTCTTTAATACTACTTAGGATATTTATCACTATCGCCGTGGTCGTCTAAAGTCCGAAATAATCGAGGAGCTTATGTTATTTCTATACATAATAAGATTTAATATTAAGGATACTAAGGTAAAGCAGCTTAAGCAGTTCTTTACACTAGCTGAGATTAAGTCGGCGAAGGAGCAGAACGATGAATATTCAGAGGATACTAAGCTTAACCTATTTAGTGATAATGAAGAGGAAGAAGGAGTAGATAATAGACTGCGAGAGATATCTCCTTATTTAATAGATATAGATATAGAGGTGATAGAGCCAGAGTTACCAGAGACTATAACTCAGAGACGGGCCTTAGGGAGGAAGCGTAAGAGTAGGGCAGATGAGGATTTCGAGTAATATTAGAGAAATACATCCTGATTTAATTATTTAATTTATTCTTAATTTATTCTAGAAGAGCGCTATAAGTAAAATACTCAATATTATAAGCAAAAAATGCATTAATTATGCAGTTATACGCTAGAAGTCTGTTTATCTGGTTTACACTATATTAGGGCCCCAATGGGTTACCCATCGTTGGGTCGAAGCAATGGACCCAAAACCCATTTTGGGTTAGGTTAGGTTGGGTTGGGTCCGGGTTAGAGTGGGTTGTGCCGAAGTCTATCCTTATTATTGTCCCGCTTGCTTCATTCCTTCCTTCTCCAAGCTTTTTATAAACAGCATGTCGACTTAGTCAGTATTGAATCAATTTGACTTCGTTCCTTCACAGAAATAACTTGTACGGGATCACTAAGTATTTTTTTGACCGGCATGGCTACCTGCATTATCACTGGCATCATTGGATCCGACATGGGACCTGGGAGTATCATTTGGCGCAGATCGTGGATTTGGTCAAGATATTAGTCGAAGGCTGGTATAGAAATCAACGCCGATAATAGAGATAGACCTTGTTTGACCCCCATTGCAGCGGTAGCCGAGTAAGGATGTTAGGATGGGGGTATCATATGTGCATTCTGGATGCTGGAGCTAATTTGGAGGCGACCCCGGTAGATACAGTCCTGCATTTATGGGCCTCTATCGTTGGACCGCGTCTCGACTATCCCTATTTATACCTACTGGCACTTAAAAAGATAGTCACGGCCATGCCAAACATTGACGCCTGTAAATGATACGAAGAGTCCACTCCACCCCACGAGTTAACAACCACCTACCACCCGGAGAACAAATTCGAGGTTGCATGCGAGATTTGCCTCGGTCACTCCCCTCCAGCAGACATCAACGCAAAGACCTGTCTTGGCGAATCCCCACTATCTATAGCCCCGGAGACTGAACTCGATCCCGCAAGGCGTGGGCGCGGTTCTTGCTCCAGAAAGGCGCCGATCCCCTCGTCCTGAACTCCCAAGGGCGGGACATCTTATATTCAATTGCCAATAATCTTGTTCCCACTGACCAAGACAGTCACGACCTCACCCAGCACCTTCTCCCCCATCTCAGCCCTGGCATCCAACATGTCTACACACAGTACTATTCTCCACAATCCAAACAGCAACGAACCCCTCTTCGCCACTGCAGAGAGCGGAAAGCCGCTCACGTTGAGCATCCTCTCTATCGGTCTCGCCAGCTACATCAACAAGACCGACAAAAAGAACTCTCCACGATGGACACCCCTAGATCGAGCCATTCACTCCGGTCGTGCACACATGCAAAGACTGGCATATTACAAACCTGGTGCGGCACACACGAAAGCGCTGGAGCAGAACCTGGTCTACGACAAGAGTCAAGGTACACCAGCGCGTGCGGCTGAGTCGTACAGGTCATTCCCGGAGATTATCCGGATTATTCGAGATGCGGGGGCTAAACAGACATGTCAGTTGGAGGGGATTAAGGGGGATTATACTGAGCAGCCAAGGGACTAGGATCAAGAGGATATTCAAAAGTACAGATTTACGGTGGAAACACAACTGAATGTCGAGGCATGGACAGAATTGTATGAATTGAAGAGATATCAAAAGTGGGTGGAGTTGGCTGGGTATGTTGACGGAGAAGGTGTGAAAGTCCCCAGGGCTGGACTGATCACATGGGTGATTAGTCAAAAAATTCCAACCTCGGGTCTATTGCCTCCTGCTAACCTTGGACTGCTAACCTTGGAAGACCTCTCTCCATATTCTGCTGGCAATTTGATTCTCCACCAGTCAAAATTTAAAGATAACGGGCGGCGTTTCTGTACCAGAAGGCGGTATAATATGGACTTTTACCTAGTCACTATGCTCGATACATTCCTTGATACTCCCAGAAGGTACATACAGTCTTTTAAGAAAAATCTGACCTATCTGGCTCAAATATAAGTGGATGTTACATGTAAAAACTCCGATGTATTCTTTTAGTTGTCTTTTTGGTTGTCTTTTCTTGGTGTAAGAATAATAAATGATAGCACAGAGTAGAGATGCCAGGCTTTTGCAATATGGAATAAATGTATATAATGTATCTTATTGTCTACAGTGGCATTTCATGAGTATTTGCACCCCAGTACTCCGAAAGGCTCCAGGCCACCTTCCATTCTGCCTGTTAAAACTTCATTCAACCCCTTAAGTAATAAGCAGTAACTAGAAAGCTCACATACACGCTCATTGATTTATGGTAGAAACTCCAGCTTGCGGGCTATGATATAAGAGAGTACAGGGAAAGCACTAGGTGGAAGTACTGGGGTGTAAATACTCATGAAACATGACTGTACGATCTAATCTTCTTCCTCGGGGCGGATATCCGGCAGACTCGGAGTGGCAAAGTGCGGGAGCTGAAAGGCTTAGTCAACCAATTAGATGGGCTGATATTCACCTTACCCTCGGTCTCCTAATTCCCTTAAATTCCTTTGGATCCTCTTTCTACTACTCTGTCTTTTTCAAACATGTCTTTCTCAAATTTGGTCTCCGATATTGCCTTCCGTGATGCTCGTGTGGATGATGGCAGCTCGCAAATCTCTCACGCCCGGTCTCACCGGTCTCATGCGACCGCTCGGTCGTATGCCAGCACCACAGCCACAAGCGTCAGCATTTCTGGCGAAGTTTCCAGCCAGCTACATTCTGGATACAGCCACCCTCTGACCAGAGCATGGCAAGCCGATAGGCAATTGACAAAGGTCCGCCTTCAAAGGTGTTATGAGACAATATTCATCGCTAATACCTTATCTCTATAGGATATGCTCATCTATCCGTTGTTCGTCACAGACAACCCTGATGAGGAGACTTTAATTCCTTCGTTGCCCAATCAATACCGTCGTGGAATCAATCGCTTGGTTCCTTTTCTTGCCCCCCTTGTTCGGAAGGGGCTGCGCTCGGTAATGCTGTTTGGTGTTCCGCTTCAATCGTCCGCCAAAGATGCACTTGGAACCGCCGCGGATGACCCCGATGGTCCTGTGATTCAAGCTATTCGCCTCCTCCGCTCCCGTTTCCCTCAACTTTATATCACGACCGATGTATGCCTTTGCGAGTATACGTCGCACGGTCACTGTGGTATCCTAAGAGAAGATGGAACCCTCGACAATGCGCAATCCGTTGACCGCATCGCCGATGTAGCTATTGCCTACGCGGCGGCTGGAGCTCACTGTGTGGCACCATCAGACATGAACGACGGAAGAATCCGAGCTATTAAGCTCAAGTTGATTGAAGCTGGTGTGGCACATCGCGTACTTTTGATGTCTTACAGTGCTAAATTCAGCGGCTGTTTGTATGGACCGTTCCGTGATGCGGCTGGTTCCTGTCCCTCATTCGGGGATCGTCGGTGCTACCAGCTTCCCCCTGGCGGCCGTGGTCTTGCCCGACGTGCCATACAGAGAGACATGGCCGAAGGTGCAGATATTATCATGGTGAAGCCAGCCAGCAGCTACCTTGATATTATCCGGGATGCCAAGGATTTGGCACCAGATCTCCCAGTGGCTGCCTACCAGGTCAGTGGTGAATTTGCAATGATCCACGCCGCTGCCAAAGCTGGTGTCTTCAATCTTAAGGATATGGCCTTCGAAAGCACCGAAGGCATACTGAGAGCTGGTGCTGGGATTGTGGTCAGTTATTTCGTCCCGGAATTCCTCGACTGGCTCTAGTATATTCAACTCGCCATTTTCTCCTTTACTACACTTTCTCCACTCCAAAAGTGCGATTTTCGGGCCTCCCATTTTCCGTCGGATTACCATGACTGCATTTCTACATCTTACTCCTTATCTATGATGGGTCTGATGTATTGAACATGAAATGCCACATGAACCTGGATATATCCCCCTCACGTGATATGATGTTACCATTTTCTTGATTGTTAACGATTACCCCTTAGCACATTATTATTAATTTCTTCTTTTTCCTTTTTGGGTCAGCCGATGTTATGGTAGGCACTTGATTTCTAGTAATTGACATATAAAACTTGGTAGCAGAATCGAGATTGAATTGAGGTAAATAATGCAGAAGCATAATGCATACATAGACTGTAAGACGACACCCAGTTCGCCGAGAGGGAACGCTAATAACATAAAAATTTGAAAAAAAAAAACAACATTCGTCAGCGACAGTGGATATCAAAGAAAAGAAAAGAAAAGAAAAGAGAAAACATCAAATCAAATCAAATAGAGAAAGAAAGCCACGAGGAGTCATAATTTTGCTACTCCCACATATAGGCGTTGGTAGACCAGCACCGTAGCGGAAGGTCATTCGACATTTCCACATACAAAATCAATAAACGTCACATCGTTCACATAGCAAAGCTTGGTTTGGAGCCTTGAAACATGTAGCCGGCAATGTTCGCGTTGACAATCTCTCCTGGAGCCACATAAACCCCTCTAGCAAGACGAACCCCTGGGTAGATGATGCACCCTGCGCCCACATAACAATCTTCTTCGATGATGACCTGACGACCTTGATACCGACTTTGTGAACCTTTGCGCTCTTGCATGTTGGGATGAGCAGTTGAACTAATTATTTTGACGTTGGGGCCAATCCACGTGTGAGCACCGATGCGGATAACACAGTCATCCACAAACAGGCAATTCTCCGAGATCATGACATCTTCCCCGATGTGGATATTATAACCATAATGGCAACTAAAAGGAGCCTCGACGACCGCTCCTTGGCCGATGGATCCGGCGGAGCGAGGCACGCCAGTTCCCGGTGAGTTGATAATGGAACCTGCCGGGGGTACGATGACCTCCTTCAGGAGGCGGTTTTGCTCTTTCGAACTAATGCCTGTGAGGGGGTTGCAGGCGTTATTAAATTTCCACAGTGCGCCACGGCAACGATCTCTTTCCTCCACGAGGTGGACGTCAAATGGTCGGTAAAGTTTGCCTCTGATCATCTTTTCCTTCTCGGTCTCGTCACTCGACACAGTCCGGCCAGACAGTTGATGCTCGATGGTAAGTGCCATCCGGGCCTGCGCCTGGGGACTATGGGTGTCCACAGTTGTCGCGGGTAATGTTCGTTGCTCAGGCCCATTTTGGAATAAGGGCATATTGGATTTGGGATGAGATGGATGACTGAGGTCCCGAAGTGAAGAGATGACCGGATAGTCAGGTTTGGAGCGTCCTTCCCGTGATAGCTCATGGATGGGTGGGACTTCCCGATAATCAACGACTTTCGCGATGGGTTCGGATGGATAAGAAGGATGACCGGTATTAGGCCCAGGCCCCGGGGCGGCACTTGGCCAAGTTTGTTTTGACCATGTATGGTTGGATGGTGTATGTGTTGGGCTAGCGTTATATTGTTGAACAGGGCGGTCAGTCTCCTCCACCAGGGGCCTGATTTTTGTCGCGTCAACATGTTCCACTGGGTTAGGTTGTCGTTCTTGGTGTCGAGGTGCTTCTTGCAGATACGAGCCATTAATGTCTGAATAGCCTTCTTTGGATTGCAAAGGGATCGGGGTTTTTGTACTAGATGGCTTTTGCCAAGTGCTTCGGGATGAATATCCTTCACACAGGAAGCCTCCACGAAGACAGTTGTTGCCTATAATACATCATTAATGTCGCTCTTTCGATTGTGTTTGGATAGGGAATAATTTAGAAGAAAAGAAACAAAAAAGATGGAAAACAAAAAGGGCAAACTAGAGCTGTCAGGAGTGGACTTACATGCCGGATGTTGCTCATCGCATTTCTTTTTTCTGCGGCGACAGGTCATACAGCCTGTCTTCGTTCGATTACTAAATACCCGCTTCCGTTTTGGAGCTACCTGCATTGTCCCATGTCGTTCTGGCGCATAACTAGGCGAGGATGGTTGCTGTGTGCCGGGGGTCGAGCGATTTGCCATGGACCTTTCTTGGCCTGCTTCACGTTGAAGAGCGTCTGCTAGATGGGCATCCGACGCATCCATTTGCTGGGCCCGTTGTGCCTGAGTGATGAGCTGAGAATCATATTCCGACCAAGGACTATTGGCGGAGGTCTGGCCGGCATCATTGCCCTCAGACCGGTGGGATGGTGTTGCAGAATGATTGCCACGCTCCATCTCCGATACCGATCCTTGCATGCTACCATTCGGATTAGGTTGGTTGCTCTCAGGACGGTTCACCGGGCTCCTGGGGGCATTCGCGACTTCGGGGTTTGGAGAATCTCGTTCTCGGGACTCTGATCTCTTTCTCTTATTCTTGTTGGAAGAGCTGGGTGAGGATCTTTGTGACCATTTCTCTTGATCATTAGCAGGATCATCCCGGCCATCTCGTTGACTGGGATCCAAGTTCTTTTCTTGGGTGGGTGCACGTTCTCCATTGGGGATGGAACTGGTCGTTGGCCCATGTACATTCCCATTCCCATTCCCGTTCCCATTCCCAGTGATCACGGGGTCTCTGCCATTGACTGCGGTAAATCGGGATGGGCTGTGTTCCGTCCCCGTTTCGGCCCCAGAGTCGTGACCATTCACGGGTGCAGCAGCAAGGGCTGTCATCATAGAGGCCAGCAAAGCAAGGGAGAAACCAAATACGAAGAATAGGGCTGAGGTTACACCGAGTGTAAGAGACGAGACTATTCAAGTATATGGCCAATATAGGCAAGTTGCAACTCAATTGCCAAGAAACCCCAACTCTGGATAGTCTTAAAGAGAAGAGAAGGCCTTCGAAGTTGAATTACTTTCCAGTCTCCCAAAGCTCTTTGTTGGCTTGGAACAAGTTAATGTTGGGTGGGGCGAGAAAGACCGGGAGATTATCAAAGATAGTATACAAGATGTTGAAAAAGAGTCAACCTTCGAAGGAATCACAAGTTTCTTTTTAATAGAGAAAAGAAAACAGAACGGGGGGAAATAGAAGTAGTCCAATGCTCAAATATAAGAAAAGAGAGAGGGGAGAGAGAGAGAGAGAGAGCCGGAGGAGACAAAAAATGAGGGAGAAGAGGAGGGGGGGGGAAAGAGAATAAAAGAGAAGGGGAAAACACCGAGCTAGGACCCTTTTCTGTCTCTCTCTCTCTCTCTCTAATAAGAAAAGTACAAAATAAAATAAAATAAAAGAGTAATCTCCAAAAAACTAGAGAAAAAAAGAGGGAAAGGGGAAGTTGGCGCGCGATCGGCAATGACGGCGTCACACGCAGCACCAATCGGAGAAGCGATCAGCCGTGTCCTAGTGAGGCGCGGGTCTGAGACATTGCCCATCCGCTTACTCTTTTCTGCGCGCGTTCCCAGTTTTTTTCTTTCCCTTTTTTCACCCTTGGCGCCCGTGTACGCGGTGTTCCGCGCATAATGGCGGTTATGCGCTTAAAGAGGTTTCAACCTTTGATTCTTAAATTTTTTTGGGGAGAATATATATTAGTTCGATTTCTATTTGATTCTTTATATAATTTTCTTTTTTTAATTCCCACTCCAAAACCTGAGTTTTCATGGATCTGGCGCCCATCTCGGGAGTTATTTGATGACTGCAGCGTGCCGCGGCGCTAGGACCAAGGAACTAAAATCACTAGAGGAGTCGGCTGGGCACGGATACCTCAAGGCGCTTTCAGTGAGTTTAGACGACTTTTCTTTTAATCGACTCAACTCTAGACGGTGTACATATCTTATATTCGACAGTATATTCTATCGATTCTGAGTTAGATATTACATATAACTATTATCACCTGTTTTAGCCCCACTTTCACAATTCTATCACTATCACTTTTCTCAGAATACCTGTCATGAATATTGAAAAGTAAAATAATAATAATAATAATATCCAATGACATATAAATGCAGTTGTGTCCGTATCCCAGAGGTAAATAGATGGTGGAGAGAGCTTGTGCTGACTAAGACCTCGAGAGGAGAGAGATCAGGTTCAAACATCCAACGCGCTCTCACCGCCAGAGTCTGCGATAGCTTCCTTTTTTTGACCCCCAATTTCGTTCCTTTTTTTTTGTCTTCAGAGTCTGGTAAGTCTTGACCTAGACTCATACTCCCACCTCCTCTTTAATCCCCCGGTCCAATCATCTCTCGTGACATAGTGCTGACCCCCAACCCCTCCAAAGGATCTCTACCCCACCGGTCACAACTTGCTTCTCATATCCCCTCCATTATTCGATACTGCCCTGCAGCCGCCCTGGCACCCCATATCCTATCCAGGCGGCTCCCCATCAATATCCACTCTTGACTCTCGTGTCTCTCGTGTCTCGAACCCTATTCCGTCATCAGAGGCGACATCGCCAGCCTTCGCCGGGATGTCGATTTCGGTACAAGAGCTGGACAACACGGTCCGAGCTTTGTTTGAAGGCAAAGGTGCCGTGGTAAGTGAAATAGTCTGCTCTATACTGCTTGGATTTCAGAATTTCATCATTCTCCATATCCCTCAGTGAAGCTCGGGGGACAACACTGACATAACATCTAGCAAAACCAAGCACAGCAGACTTTGACAGAAGTAAGCGCGCGCAGCTCCTCCAGAACGGTATGAATTGAAAGCTAATCATTCCGTGTTCTCTTTAGTTTAAGCAAAATCCCGATGCCTGGGTCACCGTGGGCAACATCCTCCAAGAGGCTTCATACCTTCAAACTAAATGTGTGTTTTGAGCATCTAACAATTTCCCCCCTACGCCTTCGAATGCCTTCGAATGCCCGGAAAAGACTTGCTGACATTAATAGACATTGCTCTCCAAGTCTTGGACAATGTGATTATGACCAGGTGGAAGGTCCTACCAAGAGACCAATGCCAGGGTAAGAACTACAATGACCTGGTTCCGTCTCCCATACTAAAATTGGACTTAGGTATCCGCAATTTCATTGTGAGATTCATTCTCGAGAACTCCGAATCCGAAGAGAAGATCCAATCGGAGCGCCCTCTGTTGAACAAGCTCAATCTCGTCCTCGTCTCCATTCTGAAGCAAGAATGGCCGCACAACTGGCCCACCTTCATCAACGAGATCATTTCCTCTTGTCATGCTAGCCTTTCGATCTGTGAAAACAACATGACAATTCTCCGTCTGTTGTCGGAGGAAGTTTTCGATTTTTCGCAAGATCAAATGACCTCTGCCAAAGCACGGAACTTGAAGACCTCCATGACATCGGAATTTGCCTCTATCTTCCAACTTTGCTCCGAGGTTCTCAACACTGCGAACCAGCCCAGTTTGGTAAAAGCGACCCTCGAAACTCTCCTCCGATTTTTGAACTGGATCCCGTTAGGCTACATTTTCGAAACCCCTATCATCAACACTCTCCTCACCCGGTTCCTCGGAGAGCCCGAGTTCCGAAATGTGACTTTGAAGTGTCTGACTGAGATTGGTGGCTTGCAAATCGGCACCCCTTACAACTATGACGAACGATTGGTGCACATGTTCACCGAGACCCTCACCACCGTTTCTAACGTCATTCCTCTCTCCTTGGACTTGAAGCAGACATATGCTATGAGCAATGGAAGAGACCAAGAATTTGTATCAAACTTGGCTTTGTTCCTCTCCAGCTTTTTCAGTGCTCACCTGGATGTATGCTCCTCCTTTTCTCTAACACCGCGTTTCTAGTTTTTGGCTGTTGCTGACTTTCTGCTTTTTTTTCTAGCTTATCGAAAAGTTGCCTAACCAAGATTACCTCACCCACGCACATTTCTATCTGATTCGGATCAGCCAGATCGATGATCGGGAGGTGTTCAAGATTTGCTTGGACTATTGGACCAGGCTGGTGCAAGAACTTTACGAAGAGATGCAGCAGCTCCCGATTACAGACATCAACCCGCTGGTATCAATGAGCGTCAGTGGGCTGGCGAATGGTGGCGCCCCCAATCCTACTACCCTAGCGAACTACCCCTTGCGCAAGCATAAATACGAGACCGTGTTAACAAATCTTCGCACCGTGATGATCGAGAAGATGGTCCGCCCAGAAGAGGTTTTGGTTGTTGAAAACGACGAGGGCGAAATTGTGCGCGAGTTCGTCAAGGAAAGCGATACCATCCAGCTTTACAAGACGATACGCGAGTGCTTGGTCTACCTGACCCATCTTGATGTGGTCGATACGGAGACCATCATGATTGATAAACTGGCCAAGCAAGTTGATGGAAGTGAATGGTCGTGGGTGAATTGCAACACCCTGTGCTGGGCTATCGGTTCTATCTCTGGGGCCATGAACGAGGAAACCGAGAAACGTTTCCTGGTAACAGTGATCAAGGATCTCCTTGGCCTCACGGAGCAGAAGCGCGGAAAGGACAACAAAGCCGTGGTGGCGAGTAACATCATGTACATCGTGGGACAATATCCCCGATTCTTGAAGGCTCACTGGAAGTTCCTGAAGACGGTCGTCAACAAGCTTTTCGAGTTTATGCACGAGACACACGAAGGCGTCCAAGACATGGCTTGCGATACGTTCATCAAGATCGCCAACAAGTGCAGACGGCATTTCGTGGCACTCCAACCTGGTGAAAGTGAACCTTTTATCGAAGAAATTGTTCGAAATATGAGGAAGATCACCATGGACCTTTCCCCGCAACAGATTCATACTTTCTACGAAGCCTGTGGCTATATGATCTCAGCGCAAGGCCAAAAGGGTCTCCAGGACCGCTTGACCGAGAACTTGATGGCTCTCCCTAACACCGCCTGGGATCAGATTATCGCCGAGGCAAACCAAAACCCGGCGATTCTCCAAGATGCCAACACCATCAAGATCGTCGGAAACATCATGAAGACTAATGTCGCGGCTTGCTCCTCGATTGGCACCTACTTTTATTCCCAGATTGGCCGGATCTATCACGACATGTTGAATATGTACCGTGCTGCCAGTCAGCTGATTAATGATGCTGTTGCAAGTGATGGTAATTAACTTAATTCACCATTAAACCCGAATTTTTGTTGACTGACACAAACAGGAGCTATTGCACCGAAAACCCCCAAGGTCCGAGGACTTCGGACCATCAAGAAAGAAATCTTGAAGCTCATCGACACCTATGTGGACAAATCAGACGACCTTGAGATGGTCAACGCCAGCATGGTACCGCCGCTCATGGAGGCGGTACTGATTGATTATGCCCGGAACGTCCCCGATGCACGCGAGGCTGAGGTCTTGAATGCCATGACTACGATAATCCACAAGCTTCACGTAAGTTCCTTCTCCCTGCTTTGTTTGGCCTGATGGCTGGGATTCCCCCTCTATCTTATGGCCTGGCACATCCGCGTACTTCAACCCTACTAACGAGTTCATTAGAATCTGATGGAGGATAAGATTCCAGCTATCATGGACAGTGTTTTCAACTGCACTCTTGAGATGATCAATAAGGACTTCCACGAATACCCTGAGCACCGGGTCGAGTTCTTCAAATTGCTTCAAGCTGTGAATCTGTACTGCTTCCAAGCACTTCTAAAGCTCGATGCTGCGCAGTTCAAGTTCGTTATCGATTCATGCATGTGGGCATCGAAGCATGACAACCGCGAGGTCGAGAACACTGGTCTTACAATGTGCCTGGAGTTGATGAACAACATGGCGGAAACTGACCAGCAAACCTCGAGCATTTTCTTCCGCGAATTCTACATTGCAATTCTTCAGGACGTCTTCTTTGTCCTTACGGATAGTGACCACAAGGCTGGTGAGCAATGTCCTTTATATCCTTGACATGAAGCAAGAGGCTTACAATGTGATCTTTTAGGATTCAAATCCCAAGCTATGCTTTTGTCGCGCATGTTTTACTTCGTGGAATCCGGCAAGATCCAGGAGCCCATCTATTCCCCCGACCAAGCCCCGGCTGGAACTTCCAACAAGGATTTCTTGCAGGAGTACATCGCAAATCTGCTCAAGAATGCATTCAGTAATCTTCAAGAGTAAGCTCCCTCCCCGTCTGCTGGAAACCATGTAAGACCATACTGACTTTTCCTACCAGAGCACAAATCAAGCAGTTTGTTCTCGGACTGTTTGCATACACTGATGACCTGAACAAATTCAAGACTCATCTTCGTGATTTCTTGATTTCTCTAAAGGAATTTTCCGATGATAACGCGGAGCTGTATGCGGAAGAACGGGAACAGGCGGTACGTGATGCCCAGGTTGCCGAACGCGACCGAGCTATGAAGGTTGGAGGCCTGTTGAAGCCCTCGGAGATGGATCAGGAGGATGAGCTATGACTGGACCAAGAACTGCGCACCGAGTTTGTTGCTGCCTCTACTGGTTCCCCTGGACATGAGCCAGGATCAAGGTTGACCTCCCTGAATGACGGCCTTGATGGCTGGTCCTTCTACGAGCTCTAGATCATGGGAAGCCATGTGTCATTGCAACATAGGATTGCTCTGGAAAGATGTGTGTGAATTTATCCTTTTATCTTTTCTTTTTTATCCCCCTTCCTTGATTGGTTATCGGACATGCGAGATAGACCCATTCCCTGATTGAGCGGGTTCTTCGAGGTTGGTGCATCACAGCTCTCTTCACGGAAAGGATTTTACAATTTTATCCTACGTGTACTTGGCCTATCTAAGGCGCGAGCTTGTTTGATAGCTTTTTAACGTCAAATGATTAAAAAAAAAATATCTCCAATTCAATGTGAAGTGGCCAATCCGTAAGTTTAGAGGGGTTGTATATATGAAAGTTAGACAGGTTGATTTTCATATTAATCTTATACAAATAAACCAATGCCTGGCTAACTTCATTTATTGTAGGGCCTCGTATATATATACATGTATGTACGTATATGCTGGAAGTGAGGAGATCAGACCAAAGGCGGTGAATCCTTACCAATTGCATCATCAGAAAAAGTAGTCTTCGGATCTTTTGATTCTTTTCTTTGACCTCCATTCTATCCCCACCACAATGTCTCGAACACGCCAGCCGACGTCAAATCCATTCCAAACCACCACAGAGACCGCACAAGACTCCTTAACAACCCACATCCCAGCTACCCTCAGATTACGAGCAGAGGAAACACCAACTGACACCAGCGAAGAAACATCGTCTTCTCGGCGAATCAGATGGAGCGAAGATGTTGTAGACAATGAGGGCATGGGCAGAAAGAGCTCAAAAGGTATATATCTAATCTACCCATTCTATCTATCCCAATTATTCCCAATTTTTCCCAATTATTCCCCACATCAGCAATGATTTAACCGCCACCAGTATGCTGCATCTACCACAAAGCCCGACCAGTAGGAGAAAGTAGCTCAGAAGAGTCCTCATCTAGCTCATCGGAGAGTGACAGCGAGAGCGAAGACGATTCTCGCTCTGCCAGAGTCAATCGGGCTCGCCGCACACACTCACACAATGGAGCGCACGGCGATCACACATCCCACCATGATGAGGGGTGTCGCCCGAGGGATCACAGATCTAAGCCGAAAAGCAAGCGCAGGAAGCCGAGTCCGAATGCGTACGAGAAGATGCCTAAGCCGTCAAAGAATCAAAACCAAAACCATGCGCGGGGCACTTGACCTGGTGTTGGGGAGGGGCGGGGGGTGGGGAGTGTTCTGAGTGACGAGGCAATGCAAGACAAGGCAATGAGGTGGAACCACACAAAGTCCGAGGCCTTGGGTTTTGGGGCCTGAATGCACAGCCGTACAAATCATCTCGGCCACCTTTCCCTTGGCTGTGACGGACCTCAGTCTATGCGCGGTGTGTATGACATCTGCACGACATTGAGCCAGACACCTCATCCGGCGGCGTGCAAGAAAACGTACAATGGCATGCCAAATCTATCTACGGTGCGCTGCATGCGACGCGGTGGTTGAATGGTCCTTGAAAGAGCTACTTGGCCGACTTGAAACATGTAGAGTAGAGTAGACAAGGTAATGAAATTTGCATTGAGAAGATCAGGATCGCAGTGAGGGGGTATCTGAAATATAACTGCAGCCCGGTCCGGTCTAGAATGATTGTACATAGGCGAAGGATAGAGAAATCCTGTTTCTGCAAGCGCTAAAGCGAATATCACACCATCATGCTTCTTCTCCTTGCGGCAACACGTTGACCACGTCTGACGTGACTAGTGTCCATCGTAGAACCATTTGGACCCGGTCCAAATGTGTCTTCATCTTCTAGAGAATCACCGATTGGGGATTGTGGTTCAGCCTGATCCACCTCGTATTGTGCCATGTTTGCGGTTGTACTCCTGGGGTTTGACGAGTGACGTCGAGTCTGACGCCTCGAATTCAATGATTCTTGAGATACCTGGGCCGAGATATCTGCGAGGCTGTCCTCAATATCTTTTTTGAGGTCAGAGCTTGGGTTCCCCGCTTCGCTGTCGTCCTTTGGGGTCGATGACACCTTACGTTTTCTCCGGGAGACCATTGCTAGCAACTGTTCTGAGGATTCATCCACAGAGAACGGATCGGAGCTCTTCGCGGCAAGAGTGAAATCAGCAGGGAGACTGCCATGAGGTTGGGTGTGGCCGCCCTCTCCGTCCAAACTTTCCCGACCTGCCTGGAAACTGGAGGACCTTCGCGATCCAAGTGCAACAGCATCAATCATTTCCTTGGTAGGGCGGCGCATCTTGTCTCGTAGATTAGGCTCTGCATAGCTAACCACAGCACCACGACGTCGGGAAGGCCGAGTTGCAGACTCTTCTTCCGTATTCATTGCATTCGGATGCGGTGACAGTGCTGGCTGGCGTGGGGCTGGCTCTTCCAGCTGGGGAGAGGCAGGGCGACTGGTACGCTTCTCTTTGTTTGAAGGCGCAATTCTGGCCACACGCGGCTTTTGATTGACAGCCTTGCCACCGAGTTTCTCGATATCCTTGACTTTCTGCGGCGAGTTCTTATTCTCATCACCCTTAGTAGGTCTTTGTAGAAGCTTAGAGTCCGGGTATGAAGATATGCGGGCCTTTTTTGGGGAGCCTAGATTTGAATTTGCACTCTCTGTTCCGGTTGTTAGCTACATTGATTGTAGGGACGGAACTGAAAGATGGCAGAACATACTTGGTTCGAGGACCTTCCGCATAGATAGAACAGGGGTTTTTGATCCTCTTGTCAAATCAACATGGCTTTTGGTGGGTGATTGGTCTTGCTGTGTATCTTCGAATGGGTTCATTTGCTTTTTTGGGCTGTGGCTGGGCCGGGTGAATTGGAATTCATCATCGTCGATATTAAGATTGGACGTGAACCGGTCATCGTCTTCGGGTATGTATTTGCGCTTCGTCGAAACCGATGCTGCGTGCCGTGTTGTATCAATGGGTGGACTTGGTTGCCGGTCTGTTGGCGCGGGGCTAATTTCAGGCGCAATAATTAAACTCGACTTCTTTTTCTTCTTGCGTGTTTCGAGAGTTGGAGGAAGTAATGGCTCGGGTTCTTCGGGTATATCATTGTTAATTTGGCTCCTGAATGTTGATTCTAGTGGCGATGGACTTGAATGTTCGATGGATGCATCTCCTTCCTCCGGCATAAAGCTGAGCTGTGGGGGAGAATCTAGAATGCTGTGGTCGCTGTGAATCAGACCGTCGAGCTCTTGGGGCCTAGGGAAGGAGTTAGCAGCTGGAATTGACCCGAAGATCCCGAAGATCCTTACTCCAGAGTCCGCCGAGGGTAATATTTGTCTTCAACAATGGCAGGAAGCCTTCCATCTTCGCCTCCCATCATGTCTTCTGTCCTCGGTCTTGACTCAGCTTGCTTTGGCCGATCAAACTCTTGGTCGCAAAGCTTGCCCACCTTGCGGGGTAACGAGCCCAAATCTGCCGCCAAATTGCTCAACTCGGCTAGTTTCGCATCCAACTTGGATTTGATGTCGTAAATCCCATTGTGCAGCAGTTTCCCTGCTTCCAATCTTTCGGTTTCCTGGGTGAGATTTATGACCTGTTTTCGGAGCGACACATTCTCCGAAAGTAGATGTGAGACTTCCGACTCTAGGCTCCGAATACGAAGAGATTGCAAGGAATTCACTCTCGCGATCTCACGATTTTGTCGCACAAATCTTCGTTTCACTGTATAGAAACAAAGCATGTCAACTGCTAGCTCAAATATTGTAATACAGTTATGCGCACTTACAGGCATCGATGGACTCAGCAGGAGCCGGGTAGTCATTCAACCGAGCCATGGTGTGTAGGTGGGGGCAGCGACCACTGCGTAATATGGATTGAAAGACAATCCTGGTGTGTAGGTTGGAATGAACGTGAATTTAATATCAAGTCCACAGAGCACACACCAGGAAATGACTGTGTGTTGGGGGGGAGGGGGTGTTGGGTCTTGAGAGGATACAAAGAAGGTAAACAGCGATGTCAAGTCCTTGTTGATGTTTGTCCACTTTGGGTTTAACCTGGATGAGTCAGCTTTGCCCATGGTCCCGGGGATGTCCAGGTACACAGAGAGTTGGAGAGATCTCATTCTTTACCTACTTCTTCTACAACTTTTCTATAATGGCATACTCCTCCCGACCAACCTCCATGCTTCCCGCTGGCTCATCGATGCGCCCCAGTTCGCAATCGCAACAATCTTCGGCGCTGTCGGCCCGCATTGCAGCCAAAAAGGCTGAGCTAGAGAACTTGCGACAACTACGCGATCTAAGTGCAACCTTGGCAATTCAGATGCAAGCTTTGGATAATAAGATCTCCACACTGAAAGATGGCACCGAAGGTTGGCCTATCTGTCCCTTGATTCGGGCTCGCTAACCGTATCAGCTGTTGCATGCGTGCTTTCCAACTGGGATAATGTTATTAGGGCCATCACTCTTGCCTCGAGTAAGTGCAAATATTTCTAATGCAATTTGTTATACTGATTTTTATGTAGGCAAGGCAGGCGGACTCTATGATCCTAAACTAGATCAGAATGTGGAGAAACCGCGTAATCTCCCATCAACGCTGGTTCGCATTCCAGCTGAGCCACGTGAGACTGGCGAGTGAATCAGACGTACTCTGTAACATTCCCAGCTGAAACCGGTCTCATCTTTACACAGTTGAATCATGAAAGTTTTATGAGCCATTTAATGGCTCGGTATCTCTGAGTTAACTCTTATGTGTATTGGGCTACAGAATTGGCGATTGCATTTTGGAGATTGCACTCGGACCTACCAAGTACTTGGCCCTCCTGTCCAGTACTAATGAGTGGCCTCGGAAAGAGAAAGGAAAAAAAGACTATCAAAAGAAGAGAAAAGTTCTTTAAGGTCCAATGGGAGCTTGTCGCAAGCCTGATTTCATGAGAATCCAGAATATTCTCAGATGACCAGCTGATTCCTAGCGTTTGGCGCAAGAAAGATGGTTATCTCGAAATGGCCGACAAATCACAGGGGGATTAAGGTCAATTTTTCCCCTCAGTTTTAATTGAAACTTCTGCACAGATAGCTGAAATATGGATGGATGTGATTGGTGTGTTCATACAAGTTCATAGGTAGGCATCATGAGACTAGTATTAGCGCGGGACATTCATACCAGTTCGAGGTTCCTGCAGATTTTAGGGGGGAAAAGGTGAAAGGCGAAAAGAAAGGCAAATGATTACCTATTTTAAGGTATGGTACCTGAGAAATACTTCGATTCCAAGTACTCCTTATTAGCTGCCTCCATATCTCCGGTACTTCCATCTAGCGTACCTTATATCACTCTTTTTCTTTTTTAAGCGCCCTAAGCCCAAATAATTTCCCTCCCCTCTTTTTTTCCTGCGCGATTATATTTCCCCGCAATAGCCGGGACATATTTTAGTGGTATGATGTGCTTGCTTATATTCTCTTCTCGCAATCTTCCTTGCACTTTACAATAACCTATTCTACCATGTCGACTGAATGGTCTTTGGACTTCTGTCTGGTCTGTGACCGTCAAACCTTGGGCGCTCCCTACTGTTCCCAAACGTGCCGTCTAGCGGAGCTGGACGAGATATCCGGGTCACGAAGATCGAGCGCAGCCTCTACACATTGGTCTGAGATCAACCAAGCTCAAACTCAAGTCGATGCCCCAGATAACTCTCGAATCCTATCTGCCTCCTCATCTCAAACCTCACTCGCTTCACTAAAGAGCAACACATCCACGTCCAATGTGGACCGGCTCCAAGATGAATTGCGTGATTACGCATCTTGCTTCGATCAAGTCCGCGACCTGAAACGACGCATGACTACCACATAATTTCAATTCGAGCCCCCCCCCCCCCCGGAAAATGCCTTTCGGCCACATCTCCCTGAATGCCGAAGGCAAATGCATGCAGCCATCTGCTTTTTGTGATATCTGATATTTTGCATGGGAATCAGGCGTTGGAAAAGATAAACTATTTTTGGTTTCTGTTTTGTTTTTCTAACCCCCCTCTCACGTCTTTGTTTAACGAACCTATACCCCCTCAACTGTTTTATATATATCATCATTTGGAGTTGAATCCTCACCTAATTAGTTTTTCTACCAGATTGCATATAATGGATATAATGGATATAATAAATATTTTGGATATTTTGGATATCTTCAAAACGTAACGGAAATTGTTAGTAGAGCCCAAGGCTTGGGCATATGTCCTGTCGAAGGTACCTTGAGGAACGTGTCCATTACCCAACCGGGAATGCTGGATATACCAGACCTCTCATTTCCTTGACACAGGCTATATGGAAACAATCCAAGAATGTAAGCCCAAGCTCTAGCCTAAGACATATACCCCTCGCCATCTCTCGACCGCATTTGGCTCTCTGCACAAGTCTGTTCCCAACCTGATGCCAACAAACAAGTGGCGCCATTCACTGCGCAAGTACTTTGGACAGAACCTTTTCATTCTTCGGTACAAATCGGACCTTATATTTTTGAGGAATGGCCACCAAACTAGTCGGATCCGAGTTACCCCGGAGAGGGTGACAGTCTGTTTTGTCATATGGTTCGAGGCGGAAGCTGTTGAGGGTGCGGATGAAGACGAGGTAGAGCTCACGATTGGCCAGCAGCGAACCGGCGCACATCCGGTAGCCTATACCGTACGTGAAGAGAGGCGCGTCGGGCTGCTCAAGCCAGCGTTCGGGACGGAACTCATCCGGGTCAGTCCACACATCAGGATCTATGAAGGGTTAGAAGTGTATGAAGGTGCTATGGGATGTCAAGATTCACCCATATTACATGCCCATGCATTCAAAAAGAACACCGTGCCCTTGGGAATGGCGATTCCCTTATAGGTGATATCCTTGACCGAGGTACGAGGAAGTGCTAATCGCAGCACAGTGAAGAACCTAAAGGCATGGTTAGTTCACCGTCCATTCGTCACCTAGTGAAATCAGAACATACCGAAGACATTCCCTGACCAGGGCTGCAATATACGCACACTTCTGATCATCGTCAGAAGAGCAAAGAGGTTCATCCTCACCATACATCTCCTGGATGGCCTTGGCGGCCCGATCTTGGATATCAGGACGCTGAGCCAGCAAACCCAGACTCCATGCAACCAAAGTGGTGACAGTATCAAGACCGCCGGAAAGCATAGTCAAACTAATCGACGTCAACTCCTCATTATTTAACTTGGCCTCCTTATCCATAATCACGTTGGCCTGGATACAAGGCTTATGCGTCCCCTTTGCCATGCGATCATCCAAGTCACTATTAAGCGCACCGAGATACTTATCACGACGGATTCTCATCTCGGCGGCTTTCTTCGAGTTGGAACTAAACGGATTCAACCGCAGAAGAGGGATATAATCCTGCAGGTTTCCAGTGGTGCTTCGGAACCGACTGATCTCTTCTTCCACCTCGGTAATCTCATCAAATAAGTCCTCTTCTTGCGATGCAATACGCACGCCCCAGTTCAAAGTCAGCGCCAAACTCAAGCTCAGGCGCTGGATCATGGGCATGGGGTCGACCGGTGTCTTTCCATGGTTTCCATATCTGTGCAGTTCTTCCACAAAGGCCTTGGACTCGATGTCAAGGTGAGACACGTACGTATCGACAGAGGGGCGATTGAGAGCCGACGCGGCGCCTTTTCTGCGTCTCTTCAAGGACTCACTGTAGGGCGAGGTACCGATAGTCGTTCCAGCGGTATTGGAAACAATCTAACCAAGTTGATCATCAGTTTTAGTTCCAACATGGCACAACTCCGATAACCAACCTTGTGGAACGTATAAGTCTCGGGTCTGGAACTCAAAGCCTGCGCATTTTGACTGAAAAGCACCTTTGCCGATGCAGCAGAGTTGACCACGACGACAGGGATGTTCCCTAGCTGGATCTGATAAACGGCGCCGTACTTTTTTGACCAGAGGCGATACTGTTCCGCGGCATTTGTGCGAATCTGCGCCAGGTTTCCAATCAACGGCAGTCCGCGCGGACCCTTCATACCCTTCACGCGGGCGGAATCTCGAATAAATTCATTAAGAATGACATAGAGGATAGGGACGAGGAGGGCTGCGGCGGCCAGTGAGTGGTAGGGATATTCAATCACGTTGCCTTGTAGCGATGCCAGTACAGCGGCGATGGCCATGGTGAATAAGGAATAGACGGGGAGTCTACACAAGCATAATCATGAACAGATAAGGAACCTACCAGAGGGGATATATATAGGAATATCACAGTCCCAAGGATCCGAATGGAACATTTCCGTGTTGTCACGGTTCGGGCGATTATCGATGTCTTTTTACCCCACACTACCCCAGGTCCTTTGCCAGGTCTTTTGCCAGGTCTTGTAGACGAGTGTACATACTCAGCCGAGAGGGTTCCGCACTACGGAATTCTTCCGCTTAGTCACGGGTAACCTGGCATTGACCTAGTTAACTAGTTATACATGCTAGTTATAACTATACAAATGTTATTAGTATTTGATAGTAGGTATATTATCCCTGATCCAAAGTGGTATCTGTCTTTTAAATGTTTCCGAGAGACGATATAAATGTCTAAAGGTTCCCATGTGATGAACTTTCTGGGATATCCAAGGTATCTCTCTAGACCTCTTTATTCTCTGAGCATCAGAAAATCCTTTTTTTTTTTTTTTTTTGAATAGTACTTCTATAGTTGTAGTATATCGAGACCTGGATAAAGGGGCTAGTGAAGATCATATCCACTTGCGCAAGGTCTTCTTTTTTCACCTTCTAGAAAGAGCCTCATTCGGCAAAATTTTCCAGTCCATAATTCATATTCCATGATAACATTCTTGGCCAAAACTGGAATTCTTTCTAGTGGACCCAGAATGGATAAGGATATGTGTAGGGGGGAATTGACCAATTCCAGTGGAGTAGATCCAAACAAGGCGTTCATAACGGGGCCCCCTGGGGCTGGGGCAATATGGTAGTCTGTGACTGGTCCATATTCATGGAGCTCTCAGTCAGGTGGCAGCGAAGAGATTGATCGAGTCCAGACCCTTTGTAGATCTGCGGTCCCGGAGAAAATTAATAATAAAAAAAAAAGTGGCCTGGAGGTGGGAATGCAGAATCGGCTTCCCGACATATCGGAATACAGACAAAAACCTCTTGGGGAGGCCCAATTGGGGAAGCTTAGAAACAAGGAAATTTCTTCGCGTCATGTGTCGGGGTAGAGATCCGGATGGGAGAGTTCCCACTTTAAGTCAATTGGTGGAATGAGAAAAAGAAGCGCATGGGAACGTAGCCCATCTCCACTGCCAAGATACTCCGATGACCATGACGCAGAGCTCTGGTACTCGTGACACCCCTACATTCATAGTGGAAGGTGTAGCGATCAGGTATCTGGTACCTTAGATTATCGCAAATCTTTCCTTTCATAGATATATCTTTATAGTTAAAAATAGGGAATTTCTCATAGCTAGGTCTTCCCGCCTTTCGCCGTCTTCTCCCCTCAACTTCTCAAACCTCTCCTCTTCCCCCCCCCCCCCAAATCTTCTCTCTCTCTTTTAGCACATATTTCCCAAGGGGAAAAATTACTCCCCGGCATATTTGAACATTTAAACATATTACATATATTCGAAAACCGATAATGGCCGCTCGGCACTCGCGCAAGCTCTTGAGACCTCTCCTCTACACGTCCGCGGCCGCCGCTGCAGGAGCAGGTGTTCTTTACATTTCTTACCGTCCGCGAAATATTCCGGGCCTCGAAGCCCCCGCCGTCCCTCCACCAGGTTACCGTGAAGGCAAGCTGGTCCCGCCTAGTTTCCCTTCAATTAAATCTCGCCTCGAACAGATTCAGGACCTCAAGCGCAGTGAGGACGAGGAGGAATATGATCTGCTCATCATTGGTGCCGGAGCCACCGGAGCTGGTATCGCACTAGATGCCGCCACCCGAGGCCTAAAGGTCGCGGTAGTGGAGAGAGATGATTTCAGTTCGGGTACCAGTAGTAAGAGTACTAAGCTGGTACACGGTGGTGTTCGTTACCTCGAAAAAGCCTTTTGGGAGTTGGACTACAACCAGTCAGTTTTCACCTTTTTTTTTTCGGCTTTTGTTTGGAAAACTTTTGGGGTTGAAATGACCGCATACTCAGACATCCTTGCTGACAATCACATCGCAGATATGCGTTGGTCAAGGAGGCTCTCAGAGAGCGCAAGTATTTCTTGAACACAGCTCCTCATCTGTCATCATGGCTGCCAATCATGGTACCTGTTCAGAAATGGTGGCAAGCTCCTTATTTCTGGGCCGGCACCAAGGCCTATGACTTCTTGGCTGGATCCGAGGGCATTGAGACCTCGTACTTCCTGACTAAGAGTAAGGCCATTGACGCATTCCCTATGTTGAAGCGTGATAACATCATTGGAGCAATGGTGTACTATGGTGAGTGAACGATTCTTTCCCCCCCCCAAAAAAAAAGGATCTGGGCTAATTTCCGAAGATGGTGCACACAACGACTCTCGCATGAACGTCTCTCTTGCCATGACTGCTGCGCTCTACGGTACCACCGTCGTGAACCACTTGGAGGTCACCGGACTGAACAAGGATGCGTCTGGCAAGCTGTGCGGTGCGCGCGCCAAGGACATCATCACAGAGAAGGATGGCCAGGTCGCCAAGGAGTTCAACATTCGTGCCAAGGGTATCATCAACGCCACGGGTCCCTTCTGTGATTCTATCCGCAAGATGGATGAGCCCAGTGTCAAGGAGATTGTGGCCCCCAGTGCTGGTGTCCACATCATCCTGCCCGGTTACTTCAGCCCCTCAAACATGGGTCTAATCGACCCTTCTACCTCTGATGGACGTGTGATCTTCTTCCTGCCATGGCAGGGTAACACCATTGCTGGTACCACTGACCAGCCCTGTGAGATTGAGGCCCAGCCCCAGCCCACGGAGAAGGACATCAACTGGATCCTTTCGGAGATTCGTGGCTACATCGCCCCCGATATCACCGTGGACCGAAGCGACGTCCTTGCTGCCTGGTCAGGTATCCGTCCCCTGGTGCGCGATCCCAAGGTGAAGAACTCGGAGGCTCTCGTCCGTAACCACCTGGTGACCGTCTCTCCGTCGGGACTGTTGACTTGCGCCGGTGGTAAGTGGACTACTTACCGCCAGATGGCAGAGGAGGCTGTGGATGAGGCAATCGACGTGTTCAAGCTCAAGCCCCGCCAGCTCACCAGTCTTCCCGACATCAGTGGTGTCGGTGGCAGTGGCCTGGTTGCTGACGGTGCCGTTCTCGACGGTAGCTGCCAGACCCACCAGGTGCGCCTTATCGGTGCCCACGGTTTCTCCAAGACCCTTTTCATCAACCTTATCCAACACTTCGGTCTCGAGACCGACGTGGCCAAGCACCTCACCGAGTCATACGGTGACCGCTCATGGCAGGTCGCTGCCTTGTCTTCCCCTACCAGTGAACGTTTCCCCGTGCGCGGCTGCCGTATCTCCCCCATGTACCCCTTCGTTGATGGCGAGATTCGCTACGCCGTCCGTCACGAGTATGCTCAGACCGCTGTCGATGTGATTGCCCGTCGCACCCGCCTAGCTTTCCTGAACGCCGAGGCCGCCCTTGAAGCCCTTCCCACCGTGATTGACACCATGGGCGAGGAATTGGAGTGGACCACCGCCCGCAAGGATCTTGAGTGGAAGGAATCCTTGACTTACCTTTCGTCCATGGGTCTGCCCAAGAGTTTCATGGGCCTTTCCCGCAATGATGCTCAGAGCGGCCGTGTTCAGCAGGTCGATGACAATGAGCGTGCGACTTTCTCTCGTAATGGTACGTTTTAACCCTTCATATCACAATTATAATGCTGACCATCCCAGAACCTCCCGCGGACATGATTGAGAGTGACGCGCGTGCCACTACTCCTGCTCCTGCAGCGAAAGTCACGCTCAATTAGATGATGTGTGTTATATATAGAGCGGGCTTGTATAAATAGAAGCGTTTTCTTTTTTTTTTCTTATTGTTCCAATATTCAATTCTCCGTGACTTTGAAAAATAAAGGAAACCTCAAACCCTAAAACAAAATGCTTTCATAAAAAGACACCTTCACATTCGGAAAGTGCCACCCTGAGTCTGCTTGTAGTTTCAAAGGTCCTTCAAGTTCTTCAAGTTCTTCGATTTTCCCATTCATTTTGTCAGTCACACCATGAAGCCAAATCAATCTGATGTTGATCTTCCATCACTTGGCTTTGAAAAGCACTTGGATTCGGATAAAGACGCTGTACCAAAGCCAGAGGCGGAGGAACAGGATCCCTTCGGAGATGAAAATCAAACTGGCGTGAAGTACAAGACCATGGCGTGGTGGTAAGTGTTCTCTTCTTCCACACGCAGAGCGAAGCTCATCCTTTTAACAGGCAAGCCGGTATGAGTAAGTTTATATGTCTTGCATATTGTCCAGCTTGCTCTAACAGATCTGGCCAGTCATGATTGCAGAGACTATCTCACTTGGTATTCTCGCACTGCCCAAAGCGCTTGCGGTACTAGGTCTTGTTCCGTACGATCTCTTCTCCGTTCACTGCAAAGACTGGGCTAACCTAGTTGTACAGCGGCATCTTAACCATCCTTGGGGTTGGTATAATCTCGACTTATACTGCATATACTATTGGGCAATTCAAGTGCCGCCATGTGCAAGTGCACAGCATGGCTGATGCCGGTGATCTTTTGATGGGAAGGCTCGGACGGAGTGTTCTGGACGTGGCCCAGCTCCTCTTTTTTGTGTTGGTGATGGGAAGCCATGTTCTCACTTTTTCAATCATGATGAACGTCCTCACCGACCATTCGTCTTGCACCATCATCTTCTCGATTGTCGGTTTACTCGCCTCCTTCATGTTGACCCTTCCACGGCGACTCGAGAAGCTTTCTCACATCTCCTACGTGAGCTTTTTCAGTATCGTCGGAGCAGTTATCACTGGTATGATTGGGGTCACCCTTGTCAGAGACGGACCAGTGCACGTCCCAGCCTTTTCGCCATCGCCCAAAGTACATGATGCGTGCCTTGCTATTGCAAACATCATCTTTGCGTACGCTGGACATGTTGCATTCTTTACCCTTTTCTCTGAGCTTAAGGAGCTTAAGGACTTCCCAAAGGCCCTGGCGCTTCTGCAGATGAGTGAAATGGTTTTGTATACGGTGGCTGCTATTGTGATATATGCCTATATTGGACCGACGGTCAACTCCCCTGCTCTCAATTCTGCGGGGCAGTTGTTCCGCAAGGTTTCCTATGCAATCGCAATACCCACGGTAGCGTACCTTTTCTCTCCGCGGAATTCTTCCAATATGAGCTAACTTCTAGATAGATTGTGATCGGGGGTGTGGTGAACGCCCATGTTGCTGTCAAGTTCATTTACGTCCGTATCTTCCGGGGCACCAACTCGATGCATAGCCAGTCATTCATGGCGCGGTTAGTGTGGGTTATGATATGTGCGGCGCTTTGGATCTTATCGTGGATCATCGCCGAAGGAGTACCGGTCTTCAACGATGTACTAGGGCTTGCGGTTTGTACTACCATATCTGACCCTGCCCCCCCAACCTGCATGTACTAATCATTCCAACTAGAGCTCCTTATTTGCTAGTTGGTTCTCTTTTGGTCTACCTGGGCTGTTTTGGCTCTATTTGAACCGGAGTTGTTGGTTCCTGACCTGGCGGCAGAAGATGCTGTTTTGCTTCAATATCTCTTTGGTGTTTCTTGGATTTCTCGTTGTGAGTTGCATTCCACTGTGATATGCTGGGTTGAATTAACTTAGGTTACCAGTGCTCTGTCGGGTTGTATTCGTCTATTCGGTCGATCTTTCACAACCTTCGCGATGGTGTTGGGGGAGGCAGCTTCTCATGTGCCGATAACTCCCTATACTGAGGCAGTATCACAGCCATGAAAAATCTGATCCTAGAAGGGGGGGGTAAATGGGTAATTCCACTTGGGGTACAGCATTACCGCGGTTGCAGATACGAGGAACATAAGTGGCAGAGAACTATCCAGCTGCATTGTATATGAATAAATTGAGTTCTCCTGCACAGTTTCAAATGTAGGCGACGGGCAAATAGTTGAGACTCTGCCGCTATTACTCTTCAATGGCCAAAAATAGACTTGTGCCAGATATCATCCCCGGAGCAAAGTGTGGTTCGGGACTTCCAGGGAAGATAAATGACACCTTTCGACATGATTGGTGTAGAAGAAGAATGAGATTAGACTTTACTCATCAAGTCGTCCTTGAGAATCACGGTCAAGGTTCAACTTGTCATAGAGTTAGATGATATAGTTTGAAGACATTAGTACCTGGTGGTAGCTATGTTACTATACCATTGGGGCAATTACCATCACGTGATCATATCAGAATCATTTGGGGCTCAGGTTGTCTACAATTGAATATTCATACAGGCTTTCCATGTCGGGTTACATAACTTTTATGAAACGCCGAAGCTCAAGGGGCAAAAAAAAGACTAAAGATAGGGGGGATTAGGGAAAGCTAAGAAGATGTGTGGATATGCAAAGTACATAGACACTAACGGTACGTGGCTCATACACGCGCACTAATGAATGACTCGCAGCCGGGTGGTACCCCTGGGGCCTCGGAGAATTGGCTGCAGCTAATGTCACATACCCGTCGGTGACACCATGGACTAGATTAATCTGGTTAATATATAAAATAAATAAAGAAAACAAAAAGTCAAAGCGGGAAGAGATATATAATAAAACCCCGTTAGCCATAATAGGAATATAGTATCCGCCTAACATCTATGAGTCTTATTAACTAAATTCTATTTTTTTTTTAGCCTAACATGGTCTCCCATATATTGGGTTCCCCTCTTCTTTTTTTTTTCTTAGAAGCCCGACGCATGTATTGTGTCCCAATCAAGACAGGGATCAGGGCCACTTATTCCCTGTGCAGAGGCAAAAATGGAATGAACGGGCATACATGCATGCCGTCATCACATCATTCCCTCTAGGACTGGGGAAAAGGGTACCATGAACGGTTCGATTTGCTGGATTTGCCATGTACTCAAAGTCACTTGGATTCGATCCAATCCCAATGACCCTGGCAAATCTCGAGTCCATCACTTTTGCCTTGGACTGTAGGGCAACCGATCTTGATCTTGCAGCTTTCACATGGGAACTGAAGCGATATATCCCGGGATCTGACTCTGGTTCTGGGTTTGGCTTTAGAGTTTCTTCGTCCGCTCGACGCTGGAACGGTGTGGGATACCAGTACCACCAGCACGTACTATGCAAGTATCATGAGATTGAGGATGGAAATGGGCCCCATGATGCAGGGCATTGGGCACCCTCGAACACCCCCTCCCTGCACCGCGCAAGTTCCAGAGACCTGCAAAACCCCCAAAGAAAATGGACCCTCTCGGCCAGTGCAAACATGTACCGATAAATAGGCGATTCAAGGCTAGTTGGCGACGCCATCACAATTTGTGGCTCGGTAGTTGTTCCAGAAACGGGCCACAGCTCTCTGGGCGACGGGTGAGCCACGGTAGCGCGTGGCGAGAAAGTAATTAAAGAGGGCGAACTCGTCTGACGTGAGCACGTAGCTATCCGGTTGGGCCTGGATGCGATTCCAGAGTTCGGTAATGGCAGCCTCCAGGACGGCGGCGGATTGGGCATTCACGGGGTCATCTTCGCATTCCCGAGCGTGTTTTAGAGCCTGACGAATCTCTGGCCAGCTTCTAGAGAGAGGAAGGTTGGACATATTGTTGGGAGAGTGTGTTTAGGTAGTGTTCAGCTGATGTGTGTTTGGTAGGGGAGATAGATTTCACGATTGGGGGTTTTATTTTGGGGGGGGAACTTGAGAGAAAAGGGAAGATGTGCGCCGCGAGGGCTTGACACAAGCGAAAAGAGTTTCAGACCAAGTAGAATGCGGAAGAGATGAGACTGCATAAGACTAAACAAGAAAATCCGAATCTTTTTTTTTTTTCAATTAAATGGGAACAGGTGTGGAGCAACGGGAGAGGGAGGGAAGGGAGGGGAGGGGGAAAACCGGGTCAGGTCCGAAAATACTATGTACTATGTTCATAAGAGAGTGACATCCGATAGAAAAAGGTAAAGATGGGAGGCTGTGAAGATTCAGGGAACAGGTCGGACTTGACTCGGAAATTGGAGTCAGCAGATACCTTGAGATGTTTTCCCTTTCAAAGAGACTTGAATGGGACCACATTAGATACCCAAGAGGAACACATAAGGAGTTGTAGTTTGTCGGCTTGGCATAACGGTTTTCTCGGCCAATTTTAATGCGGCTAGGATCGAACTAAGCCGTGTAAGAAGCTGAGACGGTGGAGAAACCGTTGCGAACGCTATGATGATTCGCCGATGGGTTATAGGGTTCAAGGGTCGAGGTCGCTTACAGCCGTAGGCTATGAGGGCCAATTGCGGGAGACAAAGGGTATTAATGGCCCCAGAGTAATGTCCGATCAAAGTGGAACTGTTTCCGGTCTGAGGCTCGTGGGACTTATCCGAAGCATTCCAATCATTGCCGAGAATATAAACACTGCCTTAGCGTCTGTTCCTTTCCTTAATTTCTGATTTTTTTCAATTGGTGTGGTCTCGGCCGGTGATTTCGGCATTTCTGGAATGGTTCGTGCCGACATATTGTTTTCCGAGTCCATTTGGTCACGGAATCTAACCGTTTGATGCTTCGAAAAAAGTTCTCGCTATCAAAGTTGCTGGGTCTCATATCCACATATGAATCCCGAGGTCACATTCGGGTGTTCGGGTATTCGCTTTTTTGTTTCTTTTGTTTCGGTCTGTTTACCCCTTTCGAGGCGCCGCAGGAGTGTCACATTTGATGCAGATGCGTTTTGGCGCCATTATTTTGGGTCTGAATTAGACTCCAAAACAATCACCAGTTTCCCCGAATATGTCGCGAGGAACTCATGAATATCGGGATAGGCTTATTCCGAAGCCCTAAGAAGGGCAGATAGGAAGATGTATGGACCAAACATGGCCAGTTTCCGAAAGAGTCTGCATTTGCCAACTCCAGAATGCTAGACCGGATATCAGAGAGAGGAAAAGAGAGAGAGAGTTGAAGAGAGAGAGAGAGAGAGAGGAGAAAAGGTGAAAAGTGGGAAGTGCCTGGAACACGGCCTAACACGGTCCACACAAAAGCGCAACTCTAAATGTTCCAGGGCTCCCCCTGTCTCACCTTTTCCTTTATTCTCTACAATGCTCTGAAGCCAGAACGTCCGAAAGCACTGGTACTCTAGGATCACTGGGGCATTTCCCCGGTTTCTGCAGGGAACGGAGTTGAATTCTGCTGGAGACTCCAAGTCATTCCAGTTACATTTTGACCTTCATTAATACCAAGTACCGCTCCGGACCGACCCATGCGGACAACGACAAGCTTGGACATCGCGAGAACCTCACTGCGAAATACAATGTCACAGACTGCGTCAAATGCAGGAACTAGCATAGGTTCCAACCGTCTATGGAAGCCTGAGAAGACATCCGAGCTAAACTTGTACAACGTACTTGGTGAAGATATGGCATACCTTTAGCTGTCATTTTGGAAATGATAGGGTCAGAACAGAGGAACAGCCTTGACCAAGATAACCTTGGAATAATACTGACACTACACGTACTGTCAATTGCTTTTTGAATGCCGTTTACCGTAAAAGTCAATATGGTATTATTTGTTCAATAGCTCCAGTCCATTGCTTTGGATTGTTGACTCGGCTGATGAACAACCGGGCTCTTTCCTACGCAACCTATTCTTCCAAGGTTATATCCTGGAGTTTCACGCTTCTTCTGCTTGAATCTGTTTAGCCATTCTAGTGCATTCTAGGGCTAAATACACAAGTGCAGGTTCCGTACATACCAGGTAATGTAAGTTCATGTATTCTGAGCAGTATCAAAGGTGGAGCTTTTTCAGACGATTCATAGTTTATACTTCATTCTTAAAAAAAAACAAAAACGGTTATACAGTGTACTCGGTCTCCTGCTCTTACTTTTTATATAAGTCATAACTCCCCTTGCAGTGCCCGGATACAGCCGTTTCTATATTATATCGGCACAAAAGGTCAAACTCAATCGATTGGACCCAAAAACAGCAATAAAAATTTCACAAGTTTATTTTTCGAATCTTCCAGGACGAATTGGACCTGAGGACCTGAGAGCCCTGTGAGGCGCACGGTTGGGATACTGCTGACTAAGCTATAGATAGGCCGAGATAAAGATTTCCCCCCCCCCCCAATTTCAACTTTTGACCTGCGCCGATCAAATTGTTCGAACCCGATTTTCCTCAAAGAAAGAAATCGAGAAGGATTGGATCTTGCCGCGATGGTTTTCTATTTCACATCGACTGTCGTCGAACCCTCCGCCTTTATTTATGTTGGCAAGGACAAATTCGAGAGTATGCCACTTGATCAATCTAGAAAATCAACTTTTTAACAATGTCAGACGAGGATCTCATAAAATATGGATTGGACAATGATGTCTGGTATGTTCCCTGGGATATATTTGTAGAGCTTTGGGACTGATATTCTGGCACAACAGGGTCAGTCTTTCCCGCTCCGACTTGCGACACCCTGCCCTAATACCTCTATACACTTGCAGTTCCACGTCGACAATTTGTCAAGTGCACACGTCTACGTACGCCTCCGAGAAGGCGAAACGTGGGACAATATTGCCCAGCCACTTCTAGAGGACTGTGCCCAGCTCACAAAAGCGAACTCCATTGAAGGTCAGTCCTCGACATGAAAGCATATACCGGAGGCTGACTTCTATAGGAAACAAGAAGGATAATATCACCATTATCTATACACCATGGTCAAACCTGAAGAAAGACGGGTCAATGGCGGCTGGTCAAGTCACCTTCCATAATCACAAGCTGGTCCGCAAGGTCTATGTTAAGCAGCGTGAGAACCCAATTGTCAACCGGCTGAACAAGACCCGAGTCGAGAAATACCCTGATCTCCGAGCCGAGAAGGAAGAGGACACGAAGAAGAAGCAGCGCGGTGACCGCAAGCTTCGAGATGAACAGCGTGCGAAGGAAAAGAAGAAGCAGCAAGAGTATGAACAGCTCAAGTGGCAGAAAGATCATGCTTATGATGATATGTTCACGGATGAAAATATGGAGCGCAGCAACAATCAGGACCGCGATGAGGATTTCCTCGACGACTTCATGTGATGGACATTGCCGTCTTTTCCAATGGAAGATCATCATTTGTCTGTGTGTCACCTTAACAGCCAGCGAAGTGAAAATTATACCCTTTGCATACTACATACGATATGCCATGGAGGACAACTGATATAAGTACAACGAAGCAGTCCTGTTTCCCCCTATATCTTTTTAGGTCATATGCGATAAAGAGGAAGGGCTTTACTAACTCTCAAAGTCCTACATAATGCCAGAAGAATCCTAGAATTCTTTCCTAATGGACATACACCATAGGCGAATTCCCTTGGCACACTATGGGAACTACTTCGTACAATAGTACAGGTTTGTAGTGTACCCTATACGCATATAAGTACAGAATGAAAGATTCAAGCATGCGTAGATACAAATCAAATAAACACAAATCAAAAGTGAAAGTAGAATTGAAAAGACAAGGTGAGTGGTAGATTAATCATCTGGGCATAGGGCGGGAAGGGCGCTAGCCGTGTTGACAGCTTACCCTGTACCTGTAACCTTAGGAATTCACCCATCTTCCTCCCCCAAGGTCTTTTCAAACACCACACAACATGAGTGAAGGAAATCCACCGTCGGCTACCCCAAGTAAGGACATCCCTTTTGTGAATTGGAACCCGCTGACCCCGCAAAAGGCGCAAAGTCTAAGAAGAATAAAAAGAAGGCCGCAAAAGCCAAAGCCGAGTCCAAAACCGACGAGCACCCAGAGGATGCGCCTGCCGACCACAATGACACTGTATGTGGTGAACTTCCCTGATTGTCATTGTACCTTTGCTGAGACCCCACAAGAACGAGCCCCATGATGCCAACGAGGACCCCATACAAGTGCCAGAGTCCAACGGCGCCAAGCCCAACACGATAGACGATAGTCTACCAGATCGGTCTGTCAATAAAGAGGAGCCCGTGGCTACTAGCGATGCCCCCTCGAGAACCGATGCCCAGTCTGACCCCGCTTCCGATGGCACCGAGCCAAAGGACCGATTCGATGCACTTGTTCGAGATCGCGACTCGTTGCGCGCCGAAGTAGCCGACATGCGAAAATCATTGGAAGAGATTCAGTCCAAGCACACCGCAGATATGGAGGTCCTGCAGCACAAATTGGACGATGCGGAGAGCAAAAAGGAGGAGGCGGAAACGCAGTTCCAGAAGCTCTTAGAACGAGTTAATACCATCAAATCACAACTAGGGGAGCGGCTCAAGGAGGATGCTGTGCGTGTGATCAGAATTCACTACTCGGGCTGTCTTGGCTAATCTTGCCCTATAGGAGGAACTGGCTCTAGCCCGATCACAAATCGAAGACCTCGAAGACGAGAACAACCACTTGAAGGATGAGCTCGATTCAAAGTCCAACCAGCTGCTAGAACTATCGGGCGATTCAGCGGGGAAGGAGAAGGAGCTGTCTACTCTTCGGGAGCGGACGAACCTATCCCAACAGAATTGGTTGAAGGAGAAGGAAGAATTGCTTGAGCAAGAGTCGTACCTCCAGTCGGAGTTTGAACAAGCGAAGGAGGCTATGCATAATTGGGAAATCCTTGCCATGGAGGAGCGGTCTATTCGAGAGAACCTGAACGAGAAAGTCGGGGATCTGGAGGAGCAGCTCAGCAGCCTGAGAGATAGTTATGAACGAGCCACCGATGAACGCGATACCCAACAGTCGACGGTTGACGGCCTCCAGCGGGCTTTGCAGGAAATCCAGTTGGCGCGAAAGCAAGAGCTGCGGGAGCTTGTCGAGAGCTCTGATTCTCAACTAGAGGACCTCAGACGCTCCCTGCGGGAAGTACAGAAGCAGGCCACTGACGCTGATAGGGGTCTCCAGAATGCCCAGGAAGAAATTGAGCGAGTTCGGCCATTTGAGAAAGAGGTCAAGGAGAAGAATCTTCTCATTGGCAAGCTACGGCATGAGGCAGTCACGTTGAATGACCATTTGACGAAAGCCCTACGATTCCTCAAGAAAGGAAAACCGGAGGATAATGTTGATAGGTACATTCTTGCTACCTCAAACTACCTCAATTGCATGCTGACCCCATACAGATATATTGTCACCAACCATTTCCTGCACTTCCTTGCTTTAGACCGATCCGATCCAAAGAAATTCCAAATATTACAACTGATCGCTGCACTCCTAGGCTGGAATGACGGTGAGTACTGCACATGAACGAATTTCTCAAACCAATCTGATTGAAAATAGAGCAACGTGAACAGGCAGGTCTTGCCCGCCCAGGGACCTCGAATATGTCTGGGAAGCTCCGAGTCCCTGGCACTCCCCTCCGCACCCCGAGCACACCAAACCTGGCGGCGGAGTTTATGGACAACGGTGCCTCCAGCAAGGAGACGTTAGCCGAACTATGGTCTAATTTCCTGGAGCAAGAAGCGGAGGTGGGTAATATGAATCCATCGCGACGAGGAAGCCACCAGGGGCCTCTCAAATGATAGACTGCAGAAATGTATAAAGCAGGAAAGTCATAGAACTTGGATACTCATACTTTGATCTTTCTCTTGCCTATTTGTATTATGTCATGTCCATGTACTCCGTATCTACTCAGGAATGCCAAGAAATATAGCCATTTCTTCCGCCTTCCTAATAAATAAACAAGCTAAGCTGTATTCGGACGGAACAAAGCCGTCTTGACCTAAATAATCGCTTTATTCATTTTTATTTCAATCCTTATATGCCTCCCTCGTCTTTGGCCTTCTCATTCTTTAGACCATTTGTCCGCGCGACTCACTCTGCATCCACAATGGCCTCTGGTAAGGATGCTACAATGGCAGAACATAACCCCACCATGCGATGCAGACATACTGACAATGCCACTTTTATACTATAGCCTACCGTCCTATTGTGATTTCAGGCCCATCGGGGACTGGAAAGTCAACTCTGCTCAAGCGATTGTTCGCTGAGTATCCTGATACCTTTGGATTTTCCATCTCGGGTTAGTGCCAAGCGCAGGGGGACGAGACCGCGAACGGCTTTGCTCACACGTCGACTGAATAGAAACCACACGATCCCCGAGACCCGGCGAGCAACATGGCCGTGAATATAACTTTGTCACAAAGGACGCATTCCTCGAGCTAGTGGCCAACAACGGGTTTATTGAGCATGGTTGGTTACACTGCTATAGGAAGAAGTTGAACGGCAATTAACCGGTAGAACAGCCCAATTCGGTGGAAACTTCTATGGAACGTCAGTCCAGGCTGTCAAGAATATCGCCGAAAAGAAGCGTATCTGCATATTGGACATTGAGATGGAAGGAGTCAAGCAGGTGAAGCGGACGGATCTCAATGCGGTAAAGTGCCCTAGGCAATCTAATAATGGGGCTTTACTAATAATTTCTAGCGTTTCTTGTTCCTTGCGCCGCCTTCTCTCGAGGTGCTGGAGCAGCGCCTCCGTGGCCGTGGTACTGAAACCGAAGAATCTCTAGAGAAAAGACTCAGCCAAGCTCGGAACGAGCTTGAGTACGCAAAGCAGCCCGCGGCTCATGATAAGATCGTTGTTAATGATGACCTCGAGAAGGCGTATGTTGAGCTGCGGGATTGGGTTGTTGACGGTGGTAAGTTCGGTGCTGCGCAATAGTACACTGCCTTAAATTTAGGAAATGTGATTTAGTGGACGTCATGGCTAGCGAGACGATAGCCCCGGTTTGTATCTTTCAACCCAAGAATAGAAGTTTCTCTCGTCAAGTTAATTAAGAAAACTAAGTACATGGAAAGCACCAGATATGGCACGAGCGCTGGAGTGCCAATTCTCTTTTTCCCCGGCAATACAAGCTCGATGGTTCTCCCAGGAAGAGACAAGATGGGATGTAAGATACAAAACGAAAACAAACGCAAAAGAAAGGAAAGAAAATGGATATCTGCAAGGGCCTGCTGGCGTCAAAAGAGGACAGTAAGTTTTCGGAGAGGGCCGTCGTGCAACGGCCACGCTCGCATCAGACATGAAAGATCATATGGTTTAGTATCCGTTCATGGCTGCGCGTTGCGAGTTGCGGCTCAGCTCCCGGTCCGCAGAGGGGCTGATAGGGCGGCTGCCACCGGTGTGGCCACCGGCAGCGCTGCTTTCCTTCAGGGCAAGCAGCTGCTTGGCACGGAAAGTCTCGTAGTGGATCTGGCTGGTGGTCTCGACCAGATCCTGAAGGTGGGTACGGGTGAGGAAGTTGCGCAGGTAGACGAATTCACAGTGGTTCTCATCCTCGACGTTGATGACACCCCAGCGGTTCTGGCGGCCGCGAACCTGCTTGCCGTTGACAACAATGGTCTTCTCACTGCCGACAACCGAGAAAGGAATGATATCCTGTAACCAGAGATTAATACCAAGTTATAATAGCTCTGCCTGGGTCCAGCATACCTTGATCTGAGCGTTGATCGCACGCTCCTCATCGTCAAGCTCGTCATTATCGTAAGGGTACATCTTCAGGTTGTGGAAGGAGAACTCCTCCTTGATGCGCTCCTTGAAGGCCTGACGCTCTTCGAGGGTGAGAGAGTCGGACTTGGCAATAACTGGAACAACGTTGACGACATCCGACAGCTTCTTCAGAACAACGATATCGATGGGCTTGAGGCTGTGTGGAGTCAATGGGTCAGTCCAAAAGAGCCCCAAGGAAGCTAAGAAATGGGCGGGGAAAACTCACGCATGGCCGGAGGGCTGAATGAAAAACAAGCAGCAGTGAACACGGGTATCTTGGATGTAACGCTCACGCTGAGCAGTGAGTTCCTTGCGGAGGTATGCCGAGTGCTGATCCTTGATGTACTTGACAATGGGGTCCCAGCTGATCATGATTAGCTTCGACCTAGTAGCTCCAGCGTGATAGGGCCCAAATTACCATCGGTCGTTGTTCACCTGGTCACCGTAACCAGGTGTGTCGACAATGTTCAAGCGGAGACGCACGCCGTTCTCCTCGATAACTAGTCACTCGTCAGCTATGCCGTATACAAAAAAGGTCGCGATCCTAAACGTACTGTGCGACTCTGTCTTGATCTCGGTGGTGGAGCGAACGGGCTCGGAGGGGGTCAGACGGCCCTTGGAATCAATCAGGTGGGATGCGAAGATAGTGTTGATCAGAGTCGATTTTCCGAGACCAGTTTGGCCTAACATGTGAGAGATTAGCCAAGGTTCTTTCACAAGGCAAAGTATTGCACAACACATACCAACACACATGACATTGAACTGGAAGCCACGCTTCAACAGCTTGCGCTCGATTTGCGAGGTAATGCTGTCGAAACCGACATGGCTATGGGGAAAAACAGTGGGCTGTTGAGCCGAAGCTGCTGTAGTGGCCATTATTGGAGGTAGAAAGGGAGATTAATTGAGAATTGAGAATTGAAATATTGCCACAATCCCAAAGAAAAACCCGAAGAGAAGAGAAGTATGTAGTTGAAGCAAGAGCCATCCCCCTTATTATCGTCTTTCCGAACTCAGGGGTGGCCCATTCCTAATTGGGACTAGCGTCTCTCCACGAGAAAACTACGATCTTTCTTTTGCTTCAGACTGTGATAGCTCCCATTCACCGACTAGAAACCTTGACCCTTTTTTCCTGCTGGAAACTATATCTACAATGGCATTGCGCCTTCTCCCTTTCGCTCCGGCAAACATGTCGCGTTCACTTCTGTCCGAGTCCCTCCAATTCCCCCGACTCGCTCGATTCCTTCCGATCACACCCATCGCGACCAGCGGATTCCTGCAACCGGTCTCGATCTCTCTCAATATCCCGTCTCTCCTTTCCGATCTTTGGGATTCCGTCTTGCGCGCTGTTCCTAAGAAGAAGACCTCTCACATGAAGAAGCGTCATCGACAAATGGCCGGCAAGGCCCTCAAAGACGTGAAGAGCCTTAATAAATGCCCGGGTTGTGGACAGATCAAGCGTGCCCATCTTCTGTGCCCAAACTGTGTCAAAGGTAGGAATTGGGCCCAAGCTGGAAGAATATATATATCTTTGATTATTGCAGAAAAGCTGACTCTTCAACAGATATCAAGGAATCGTGGAGGACCCTGGACATGGCATGAGGACTGTAAGAAATAAGGGCTTGCCTTGAGGGAATCAGGATATTCGAGATCCCAATCTCAAGCCCAAAGAGAGCGATTGTATTTCTAGAATTGGTTGTGGATACATGCTGCATGGCAACTGGCGTCTGGGTTTTGCGGGGAAAATGTTTCGATATGACTTGAACAATTCGATCTAGTAGGTCGACTTTGAACGTGATCTTTTCAGTTTGCCTCTTTGTAAACCCGAAAGCCGGACTTCAATTGTAGATGTCATAGTTACGGCCGATAGAGATGGATGTGGACCGGGTGGGAATAATTTGACATGTTCACACGACTTGACTTTATTGGTCTATATATATGCGAACATGTCCGCCTCTACTTTGCTTATTACGAACTTTGTAGTCATGTAGTCAAGACAACTAGATAGTCGATAATACGTACTCCGTACGCAGGGATTATTTCAAGCGTTGGTCAACTTTAACAGCTTAACTATATTTCGCCTACTATTCGATATCAGAGTGACAGATAGGCTACCTAGGTAGCAAAGTAGAGATAATAGAGATAATAGCCATAACACACATATATGGGTTGTGTTGACCATCAAGTTGCCTCTATCAGTTAAAAAGAAAAGCGATAAAGGCGGAACGGGCCTTCGGGCCCCAACGTCATTGCTCCTCCGCAAAGTAAAGTCTCGACACAGTCGTGAGAGAGCACGGCATCATCAGCATGGTAAGATTAGACCAAAAAAAAAGATTGAATATCACTGCTAATTGGAATTTTTAGTCGAAACAATACCTCTCGAGGGGTTCTGTGGACAATGGTGAGCTTCCCGTGCATATATCCTGGGTGATTTGGCTAATATTTGTTTTGCAGCGCACATTGTTGATATCTTCTCGCTAGCTATAACGGACAAGCAAATTCTGTCTACCTCGGGTGCCTCGTCTATCAAAGTGCATTCCACCACCGACGCTGACTTTCCGCTGGTGCAGTCCATTGATGGTGCCCACACCATTGGCTGCCATCATATCGTGACCAATGGGAATGGCTCCCGTGCAATCACTGCTGGGTTTGATGGTGAAATCAAGGCCTGGTCTTGTCAAGATGGCCATTGGGCTGCAGACACAAAAGTGACGGGTAAGTATTGCCCCTCTTCGATAAGAACATGCGATGGGGCTAACAAGAGCACAGCCGACCTCACTGGTGCCGATGCCTGGGCCATCGCTCTTTCTGAAGATGGTCAGTATCTTGCTGGTGTCACACAGGCAGGGCGCATTAATGTATGGGATTTGGCTGCCGATGGCACTCAGATTCGAGACCACGAGACCAAAGGCAGCTTTGGTACTTGCATCGACTTGGTGAGATCTCAAATCCTCACAGCCAAACAGTGACCCCCTGCTGACTTTGTTTAGTCTGCTGATGGTCGATTGATCGCTTCAGGCCACGAGGACGGCGCAGTCTACATCTTCACCACTGAAACAGGCCGCATGCCGTTTTCTCTCTCAGGTAAGCGAAGTTGACTGAGCCCAGCAGAAATTCAAGTTCTAATTCGGCCTAGGCTTGGTCAATCCCATACGAGCTGTAGCATTCTCGCCTAAAAGTAAGATTTTAGCAGCTGCTGGCGACTCCAAAGTCATTGTGCTGTATGATACTTCCTCTGGCGAACAAATCGCCAATCTCGCAGGGCACTCTGCCTGGATCTTATCCCTTTCCTGGAGCGATACTGGCGAGTACCTCCTGAGCAGGTCAGTCAATATCCCATGCACACATATGAACGGCAAGCTGACATTTCCAAGTTCGTTTGACGGCAAAGTCAAGGTTTGGTCCATGGAGACCAAAACCTGTGTCGCTACACACTCAGAAACAGATAAAGCCCTATGGAATGCCAAGTGGCTTCCCAAGGTCGGCAAGACAGAAGGGTTTGCCACCGCTGGCGCAAACCGCAGCATTGCATTCTACCGCGAAGCTACTGGATAAAAGAAGTAGCTGCACACGGGGGGGTATTGGGGAAATATCCCCTTGCAACTGCGTTATGACGATTTCAATGGAACCTAGGAAAACCTTACTGAACTATGCATAAAAATCATGAATTTCGTATTGGAACAATAACCTCTCCTTGTACTTGTTCTCAGTTCATCGCCTCAACAAACAGTTTACGCATGCGCTTCAAGAATGCCCCAAAGTCTCGATCATCGTTGACAAGATCTACTACATGTTCCAACCCATCCCGATCAACCTTGGGGCGCGTATGGAAAACCTCGTAGTCACGACTGGCAGTGCCCAATTCAAACCAAGCCTCCGCCTCCCAGTCCTTCTCCAATAGGTGGCTGTAGACAAACTTTAAGCGGTCCTCACGACCAGCGCCTTCAATTCGAATACAAAGGTAATCCTGCCAGAACTCTAACTCCGGGAAATTGAGACGAGATTGCGCATCTAAATACTGTGCGTGAGACTTTTGTGCCTCGACCTTTTGACTGATGGCCTTCTGTGTCTCGGCGATCTGCTGCTTCAGACGGTCGCGTTTGGCGAGGCGGGAATCACGTTCCAAGGTGATAGATGAGATAGCCGCATGCATTTCAGCAGCCTCGGCCGCTTCCTTTTGGAGGGTTTGTTCATGAGTTTGTGATTTGAGGTTGAGAATTTCGATATCGCGCTGTCGCATGCGCTTGTCCTCTTAACGGTTGTGTTAGATGCAGTATGGTCAGAACGGGGAGTGAGTGTTTCAATCATCAATTCATACCTTCATATTCAGCTAAGTTAATGTGAAACTGGTTTCGTTCCTCCAAGACCCGTTTGCGACCGCGCTCAATAAACGCGTCAAACTTCACTGTGAATTGTGCCATGGTATTGCGCAGGTCCTCAAATCCAAAGTTGATGCTAGGCAATGAGTCTGCCATCGAGGGCGCATCCGCCGAGGCGAGCGGTGGACGCATGCCACTTGTCGAGAGCGAAGGTTCGAATGAAGAAGTCATATCTGATAATTGGAATTGGTGAATGATGGGTGGTGAAGTTGAAATTGAAGTCGCGGGGACAAGAGTTGTTTTGGGTTGCGGCGCAACAACTCCGAGTCTTATCGATAACGATCAAAAAACTTTCCTGTCCCGAGGTCTCACTTCCTGCATCCTCTCACATTATGCGCATATTTATATGACTCGATCTCTTAATGTTGCAGTATCGACATGGTTTGGGCCCCTGAACTGATCGCAAGAGGCAAAGAAAGATCCCATGGATGAATATCCAGGCAGTGCTCTCCACTATGGGCACGTAGGACGGGCAGTCTACCTTCCTGAGGAGGAGGACTGGACATTTACTCGCTCTTTTGATAGGCGTAAGTACTGGACCTTACTTTCTCCGAATAAGCTAACACGGTTCAAGCTCCATCCATCCAGTATACCGGAGTGACCAAGACAAAAATTCCGTCACCTTTTCCTCCAACCAAAGCTCGACCAATACCCAGAGTACCCCAGAAAAACCCCAGGAAAGTGATCACAGGAGCCCATCCTGATCTGGCGGCATCATGGTCTTCCATTCGCGATGAACCTTTGTCTAAAGCTGTTATGAATACTGTCGAGCATTATGATCCAGAGATCTCTGCGCTTTTTGATGTCGGTTATGCGGTGGATCAAAGGCGTCATGACAAAAGGCTGCGCTCAGTTCCAATTGCGGTGGCTGTGACCGGAGAATGTCGTAATATAATCTCATTTCGAACCCTGGAGGAGGAAATTTTGGAGTTGACCTCTCCAAAGAAGTTAGCATTTCGTGCTCCATCAATCAATGACGCTGAAATGTCTGAATGGTCTAAGGATGGTGCGCCGATACGTCAAGTACACTTTGCACGCCCCTTGGAGGAGAAGCCCGTGTTCATGGCCGCTCGTCTCTCCAAAGGGACTACAATATTCCGACCTCTTTACCACTGGGATCCTGCGCCTATGCGCTTACCGGAAGGTGGTATGCCGGGATACGCTGCCCCCTTAAAAAACTCTCGGCTAGATGCGAATCCAATCGTGGAGATATCTGCGTCGCGAACAGGTGGCGTCTCACATGCCGATGTGACATTCAACCCCTGGTATCAGAGACAATTCGCCATTGTAGATACCAGAGGCAAGTGGAGTGTTTGGGAGATCACCGGCAGGCAGCGACTCCAGCGAGCCACTTGGTCTACCGAGCTTGTCAAATCAGGCTCGTTACCCTTGCGGGATTATAAGCGGAAACACAGTTGTCCTCGGCTTGATGGCTGGGCATCTATCGAGTGGGTCCATAATGTTGGATCGGTAGTTGTCGCCAATCGTCGCAGTGTCATAATCTATGCCATCACAGATGACCAGATTCAACCACGCACGGTTGAGCTGGGAATGGCAAAGCAATCTGAGTGGGTTTTGGGCGTTCAGAGAAACACACGCAAGCCATCACAGTTCTGCGTTCTGACGACAACTCGAATATTGTGGTTTGATCTCGGAGCACTACCAGGCGAAGATGATACAAGTCTTTCTTTATATCCTCAAGTGTCCTGGAGGCACTTTCGAGACCCCGAAGACACGACTTTGCAACTTAGCGATGTAGTCGTATACGAAGGTATGTGCTTGGTTGAACAGGGACTGCATATACTAAATTACTACCCCAGATTTGTATCTTGTTCTGTATTCTGGGATCACTCGGCTGGTACAAGTATTCCCATGTCCCTTTATATCCGACGATCGGACTGAGTCTATATCTGTACCCGATCCCTGGGTGTTAGATGTGCCCCTGTTGGCGGAGATACCGCCCACTAAACGTGATTCTGTCGTGCGATTCTCGAGATTCGTGTTTAGAGAGATTGCGCACTCCGTTACACCCATGGGTAGAAATTTCTATGACGCCCACTTGCCATTGATCAAGCTTTTCTGGATGGATTCCGATTTTGCCGTTCACGAATCTACTTTCACAGGTCCACGCGGAGATCTAGACGAGCCGGACTTGTACCGTGAAGGTAGTACCTTGCGGTTGAGAAGGCGTTATGCTCCGACATCATACATCAGACCCACTGATGACTTTCTTGTGGATGATTGGGACGAATCAGCGACACAGCAAACGATTGTTCGTCGTTGCAAGCCCAAAATGTCCCGCGTCAATCCAAGGTCAGCCTTGCAGTGGACCTTGGATTTTTCTGGCGTCTACCAAATAGCGATAGGGAAAATGGAAATTCGTCAGAAAAAGCAAAAGAAGAGACAAAATTCGAGGCCAAGGACACTTGCTGGGTTGATGGCAATTTTACAAGACGAAATGAAGAATGGATCGAAGCGACCTCCAGGCAGGACCTTGGTGGAATTGACCGGCAGGAGAATTTTGGCAGAGGGCCTTGATGAAAGTGCAGATGATGTGAAACGACTCATTTCAGCACTCGTGCCCGAACACCCGAACCCTGACGCTCATTGTCGGTATATGCTTCTGCCGCTCCCACTCCCAAACAGGGGTTATGGTATGCCAGCCAGAATATCAGGGAAACCAGGCAGGGATCTTCTAAATACCTATGATCAAATGGTCGATGATTGGATGTCGACCCTGCCTCGTGTCATCCCCGTGCAGACCCGACTCATGAAAGAGAGAGTCATTCGGGGAGTTGCTGCTGATCTCATCCTTTCACGCCTAGTCAAAATGTCTACTTCGCTAGATAGCGCTATGCTGTCCAAGCCCGCAGATCCCGTCCAAGACAGAGCAAATGAGAAAGCCGCGGCACATAACAAATACCTGCAATCGACCTACTTCGCATTATTATCATCACAGATGTCTGGTAGCCAGTCAAAGGCCAAAAGCCGAGGCTTTGAATCCAGACGGGAGAAGATACCAGTCCAGCAATCCAAGTACACCGCAGTCCCAGTCTTTGGTGGTCTCTCAGCCTTTGTCAAATTCAAGACTCCTCCACGCCCACCACGACGAAATGCGGCAAACCTCCTCTCCCACTGGCCGGTGGGAACCAACCCCAAACACTATGAATGGGAGAGGATCGAAGACGAGGAGACGCGGAATTCAAAGGCACGCACGTCCAAGAACAGACGAAAGAAGCGCTCCCAGACTCGTGACCAATCCCTCCCTCCGACTCCGGCAGTTCCTATGGTCCGAACATGGGGCAGTCAGCCACTCGCGCCTTCTCGCATCAACAGTAGTCAGCCCGATATGTCAATGACTCAGATGGAGCGAGGAGTTTTTGGAACCCGTGCACTCAAGAAACCGAAAAAGAAGAGACAAGCAGGATTTTAGAATATATAAATAACCCAATACTAAAACACAATGGCGAATATGGCTCATTCCCCAAGGGATGGAATTATGACAAATGCAAACCAATACCTATGTGTGCTAGAATACTAGGTAGAAGATATATAATCTCCCTCTCTCCTTGTTTCACCTTTTCCCCTCCGAAACCTCCCAAGAGTCCACCGCCAAGCATCTTCCCTTTCCAACACCCCGCACCCACAAATTCCCATCATGTCTGACCATCAGTACAAGTTCAATGTGACCATGACCTGCGGCGGATGCTCCGGTGCCGTAGAGCGTGTACTCAGGAAACTCGAAGGTAAGCGACGCGCCTGTTTATTTTATCTGATCCTAACACGCCGGTAGGCGTCAAGACCTTCGATGTCAGCCTCGAGACCCAGACAGTCAATGTCACCACCGAGCCTACTCTTTCCTACGATGCCGTGCTGGAGAAGATTAAGAAGACTGGCAAGGCTGTGAACAGCGGAGAGGCGGATGGGGAGAGCAAGGAGGTTTGAAATTCTCAGGTGTTTCCGGTCTTATATACCCTTTGTGTTGCATGCGAGGCCTGGGGCCAAACCCCACGAACTCTCACCTAAGCTCGTGGAACCCCCGAGGCCTAAGACCATAGACTGGACTGCTAGGTGCTAGGCAGAACATACCAACAGCATGTGTTCCTACTTTAGAAGGTTCCAAGGTTGTCCTGTCCTAGTTAGTGGAAATGAAATAGACATGAAATAGACATGAAATGAGGGAACCGTAGTTCCTGATTCAAATTGGTATTGTGACCCACGAGAAAAGGTTCTAATAATATGCACCAGGGTATCATGAACAATGCAAAGGCAAGGCAATGCGAATACAAAAAAAAAAAATCTCGAAACAAGTCAGCTCCCCCGAAAGGGGAAGGTGGTAGGTAGAATTAATTAATCAACAATGACAAAACGTCTTCCATCAAGGGGGGAATAGTAGGGGCGTGGTTCAACTCTTTGAACGTAGACTGGGCGATCCTGCTCTGTAGCCTGGGATGAGGGAGGGTTGTAGGATGGTCTGTATTGGTGTTAGTTGGTATTTTTCTCAAGGCATAGGGGAAAGTTGTGTTAAACTGGTTGGTTTCCCCAATGAAGGCTTACCGCGAGGAGTTGAACCCGCCACTGGCTGGTCTTTCACGAGGAACCTGAGGGGGGGACACGTGAGGCTGGATCTTTCCTATGACAGAGTCTGAAAAGGTGCGAAGGTGGTCATGGGGATCCACTCGTCCTATGGGCAATGGGCGTTGATCTGACGAAACCTGGGTCTGAGATAGATGATTTGTGCCAAGATAATCAAGATTTCTAGTCCGCGTGGTCGGAGAAGGGTCTCCAATGGGCTTGACCTCGGGTTCTGTGCGCCTGGCAACGTATTCAAATGGAAGGGGCTCACGGTGATCAACATGCCGGACGAAGTCCTCGGCATACAGGTTCCTGTCAGGGTGGACGTTCTCTAGTAAAGGCCGGCCACCATCAACGCGGCGCCGAATAGCCCGCGGCTCTTTCGGAACACGGTCCAAACGGAGACTACGATCACCATGGTAAGGATGCCACGGTCCAGAATTGGAAACGGCTGGAGCCGCCCGGAAGGTGCGATCGCCCTCCGAGACAATGATACTGGTACTGGAAAGTCCAGCCTGTGACTGGGGCTCGTATGGCCCGCTGATATGCTGTCGACCCAAGACTGACCTTGTTTCTAGGCCATGCTGTGCGTTGGGATAAGAAAGCGAGTTTGGGTTCCTTTCCCGTTGGTGTCCTACAACAAGGGGTTGTTCCACTGACAGATAGTCCCGACGGAAATGAGGCTGATCCTGGGGTCGGTGGTCTGGGACCAGTTCAACGCGACGATACGGGTGTGGTTGCCCGTATCCTTCGGAAACGGGGAGTCCCATAGGCCTTGCACTCCACGGGTCTGGACGGGACTCGGTTCGAGAACCTTCACGGCATGCCAAACGCCTTCTTTTGCTGGCGTGTTCGCTGTCACTTTCCTTGTCGATGACATCGGGGTGATGCATCATCTCTCCTTGAGGACGTCCTGGCGTGACCGATCGGAGGGACATATTGTTGGTCATATGTATCAAAGGATGCGCACCGTCAGTCCGCCGGCTTTCTGAGGGCCTGGAATTTTCAATGGAGGGCAAGATGGAATCCTGTATGTTTGAACCTGGTCTGAGAAGAGGGGAACTGATGGAGTCAGGGCGGCGTCCGACTGGAGTCAATTTCTGACGGTTTTCCTTTGGTCCGCTCACGAACACAGGTGCGTTGGTCTTATCCGACTGAGGAGGCAGTCTCTCCTGTCGAAATCTGGGCTCCATCCTCGAGGGAGCAACATCCTGCGAGTGGGTCATGTTCGCATTTCTAGGTCCAGAGAGCTTTTCTAGGATTTGTAACTCGGGTGATTCCTGATTAGTTAGTCCAGCTGGCCTGACGTTCAGTCCATGGGTTGAGTATTTTTGTTGGGCGTCCGAGTGAAAATAGTTTTCCTGGACACCTACATGTCTCTTGGCCACCTGCCGATCCATTAGTGGAATAGCGAGCACTCGATGTGCTTGGTTATCATTACTGACTGAGCCTGGAGCGACTCGCCGATGAATCTCGGCGTGCTGGGGAACTATATCCTGGCGCCTAGGAGAGGGTGGTTGCTGAGCAGTAATGCGCTGCTCGGCATATCGTGGGCTTTGTTTTTCAGTGAGGGCACCAGAGAACCTGGGTTGTGCAGTGCCTTGTATACCCTCTCTATACTCCCTGACAGCGCGAGTCCATGCTTTGTATCTGTTAAATCCGCGGCGGTTGATGGTTTCTGTGGCTGGGGCTCTTGTGACAAATCGGAATCCAGGCGGCGCTTCCTCGGATAGTTCCCGTGGAAGATCTGGACCAAGAGGGTTCGTGTTGATAGGCTGACACCGGATCTCATGGGCCCGAGTATCGCTTGGAAGTATTTCCACACTGGTGTTCCGATGACCTGCCGAAGCAGCCGCATCTTCTTCTGATTCACTGTCTTCGTCGTCTGAGATAACAATCACCTCACGGAAAACATCTTCCAGCACCGTCTGGCCGTTCTCATCGTCCCCTCGCCACTCAATGACTTTTGCTAGAGTTGTGTGTTCAACTATCCCTCTTGCTTCATGGAATGAAGTGGTTTTCAGGAGGCGATCGTAGTCAGTGTAGACATGCCGAACGTGAGCAACCACAGCAAGTTGAGCTCTGCGAGCCAAAGGCAATTCGGTGGCTGTCCCAACTTTTTTCTGACCCTTTTTTTTCCCTGAATATCAGGTTTTCCACATCCTCATTTCTCAGATCAGGATTGGGTATATACGTACCTTTTGAAAAGCGGTCTTGATAATTTGATTCAAATCTTTGTCGGGAATATTGGGAAAGAGGTCCTTTAAGGCGTCCCGTGCTTCTGTGTTGAGAGTTATTTGAGAAACTTCGGAATCAGCCTGCTTTGAATTCTCTATCCTGTCCGTAGGAAAGGTACTAGGCACTGTTTTACCAGTGCTTGTGAGGTAGAATCCCAGCTCTGAACAAACAGCTGCCACCACGGTACTAGGAAAATGATACCCTATCCGATGAACATGCTGGGACAGATTATGATGGCGATGGTGTGGGGTAGTCTAGAAATAATAAGCAGTGCTGATCATTAGCGATCAGATGGGGTTCTCACCGATACTGCATGAATTTGAAGACCCTCATCTCGACACCGCTCCTTACACGTCGTAGTGAGCTGCGGGTTTCCTGCAGGGATGAAGGTGTATCCGCTTGGTGCTTGCGCTTCAAAACAGATCTGTGCATTTTTGTTAATAATTTGGTCAAGCCGAGGAAGAGATAGTATACATACAACACTCCGAAGCTTTTTCTTTTCTTGGGTTACAGATTCCATGATAACTTTGTGTCTTCTCGCTCTCCTTTGAATAGCCCGGCCGGGACCATGCCTGACCGAGGCCGAAGCAGCCCTTCTTATGACACGGGCCATACTGGTTTAGCTTATCGCAGAACCTTGCGAAGATGAAGATTTCAACACATCGTTCACCATATGTATCAGGCGTTTAATGTGAAGAGGTAGATAGTACGTGTCTCCTTGTCTGGGTCAGGGTGAGGGCGTGATCAAGTCAAGACGAAATCACGTCTTATGCACGCAACGCAAATGATACGAGGTAAAGGCACCCCGCGGTCGCCCGAAACAGAAACAAGGCCCCAACGAGCTTTTTGAGTTAAACTTCGAGAAAGAGCAAGATCAAGAAGCAAGCAGTAAAGGAGCAAAGAGAATAGAAAGAACAAGAATATCGGGAGGAAAGACGGAGAGAGAGGGATTGATAAGATTGCTGTTGCGGCCCAAATCACCTCTCCCGATCGGGCTAGTCCTGCCTGAGGCTTCAACCTTTCCCCAACTTTGACCGTCTTTTACTCTTTACTCCAATACAACATTTGGACTCAACACTTCGGATCTCCGTTCATTCCGCCCGATTCCGCCTGATTGCACATCTGTCGCCGATTCGTTGGCTCGGACTTGTCCAATAGATCATGACTTCAATCCAGGCCATGAAGGTGGATCGACGAGCTATGGTCCACGCATACCGTCACCTTTACCGGCAGGGGTTGAAAGCGATTCAGTATTCGACACCGGGTCGCCATATGCTTCTAAAGTCCTTGCGAGAATCCTATCGTTCTACCCCCTCCGAAGAGTTTGATCCTGCCAAAATCACCAACACCCTTCGTTTTCTCGAACGAGCTACCGAGGTCGCGGGTATGGAACACAGGATTTTGAAGAACCTTCTGCTAGCTAGGTATTGGGAACAAGGTCATCTTGTGAGAGAGTCGCGCGTGTGAGTGACCACCAACAAAAATGGAGAAGAAAGCTGCTGACTTGGCCTCAGCCCACGATCCTTAGGACTCGGTCATGTAGAGAACCAGTTGCGGACAAGCGTCTTTGACCATTACAATTTGACACTTGACCGTTTGAATGAGAGTCTAGGGACATGTCTCAGATGATTCGAACTCCGTACTTCTCGACTTTTACGTTGGTGCTGATCCGACCCTCCAGATTGTGCATCCGTTAGGCCTCAGTGCTTCCCTTGGGCATGAATCCACATCGACGCGAGGCAGCTCGCCCAAAAAGGGATTGCACATACCGGGTATTACCGTAACTAGAACACGGGTACATGTCCCAATCTCATCAGGATTCCGTAGGATGTGATGGCCCGTCCTGGCTCTGGGTCAACGTCGTGCGTTGTATTTCCAGACAATCTTATGGCATACGACACGTTAAGCCAATGGCACTCTACACGCCTTGGCGTCCAATACAACGTAGAGCCAATCCTCGTCTCCAGACTTGAGACTCATTAGTAGACGGTAGGATTGGCCCTTGAGCATGATGGCGCGGCAGGAAGACAGGATTGATGGGGAGCTACGTGGTAAAATACTTTCAGCAAATTCCAAACCAAATGATAGTCCATTCTCTTTTCGAATATTCCTTGATTTTCAAGTCCAACCGACACCTAAAAATCGTGCCATCTGTTCAGGTTCCAGCCCCAGAGCATGTGACGATGATTCAGCATCGGAGGCGGTGCCCGTAGACGTCACATGTCGCGATGTCTGCTGTTTCAGCTCCAACTTTGGGCTTGATTTTGCTTGATTTCAAGCATCTAAAGTGATTTAGTGAGATGCCGGTTTACAGCCCTTCATGAGTGGTTTCATTTCATCGCTGTTGATCCAAATTGGAATACGATCCCCCTTACCCCCGCCAAGCAGCCAGCCAAATGACGACCAAGCCAGAGTCCACCTGAACGAACCGATAAACCTCTCGAGTGATAGTGAAGACCATAAATTTGTTTCTCACCTGGGCCAAGATCACGGACAGAAATCGAACTGCGGAGATGCGGGTGCGGGGTCCCTGCATAGCCCTCCTTTCTTCACAACTTTACCTAAAGAGATGGATGGCCGAAACTTGCAACCGGAGGGCACTCGATCAGTGACCCACAGCACACCTGGGTCAATCCAAAACATAGCTGCAACCACAGACGACCCATTTGATCCCACACATGAAATCGACGTCGCCGTGCAGTCGGACAGTCCAGGAAATCCACAAGCTTCACACCCCAGTGAGGTGCTGAACTCGCACGATGAGCCACAACATGCAGCTTCAGCAATAGCTATTGGCGAGACTCGGCGATCTTTGGGCAATACCTTTGATCCAGAGGGACTGGCACAGTCTTCGCTTCCAGCGGATGATGGAATGGGAATTTTAAGAAGCAAGATCATCGCAATCAGGGAGTTGCAGCTCACCAATGTTGAAAAGGCGCGAATGGTTCACGGTCTGATGACAGAAGGTTATAACTCGTCCCGTGACCTGCTAAGCGCTCCTGGTACTGGGGTACTATCAACTCCATCGAGCCCACGGAGCTTGGGCTTGCCAACAAGCCCGGGGGCTCCTCGAGCCTCGGACACCAATTCTTCTAGACCCGGTTCCCCATACTCCGAATCAGTTCCTCTATATGAGAACACGTTCAATCTCACACCTGAAGATCTTCAGCCCACTTTCGTACCCAAGGCAGAAATAGAATCACCAGAACTTGAAACTGGGGACGAAGACTGTGACACAGAAGAACAAGATGAGGCTACTCTGGGATGCGTGCATTATCAGCGAAATGTCAAACTCGAGTGCCACACTTGCAAAAAATGGTATACCTGCCGCTTCTGCCATGACGAAGTGGAAGACCATTCTCTCGTTCGTCGAGACACCGAACACATGCTTTGTATGCTATGTGGGCACGCACAGCCCGCAGCGCAGAACTGCCGACGGTGCAGCGAACAAACTGCACAGTATTACTGTGAAATTTGCAAGCTCTGGGATAACGACAGCAAAAAGAGTATCTATCATTGCAACGATTGCGGTATATGTCGAATTGGACAAGGACTAGGGAAGGATTTCTTCCATTGCCAGGTAAGGTCCCTGACATAGTTTAGACGATATTGACACTGACAGTATTATAGACATGCTCCGTTTGTCTTCCTATGTGTATTGAGAACACCCATCGTTGCATTGAACGGTCCACCCAGTGTGACTGTCCCATATGTGGTGACTACATGTTCACTTCTCCAGAAACCGTCGTCGTTATGCGATGTGGCCACAGCATACACCATAAGTGTCTCTCGGAGTACTCCAAAAGTTCCTTCCGCTGTCCTATCTGTAGCAAGACCATCACCAACATGGAGTCCACATTCCGAAACCTTGATCGCACCATCGAGAGCCAGCCCATGCCTGAGGAGTTCAAGGATACCAAAGGCCTTATTTACTGCAACGATTGCGGTTCAAAGTCAGTTGTCAAGTACCATTGGCTCGGCTTAAGATGTGATTTGTATGTACCCTCCGAGAAAGGAAAAAAAATGCGATCAACACCTACTGATGACATCTAGATGTGAGTCGTATAATACGGCCCAACTTCGCATTTTGCATGGAGATATGTCTGCTCAACCCGAGGAAGACTCCGGGGAAGGCCTTCCTCGGCCTCGGGCGTCTTCACTCATTGACAACGATGATTCGATGTCGTCTTCCCTGGCAGCATTAAATGTCGATAACACATCGATTCCTCGTTCACGGCTCAGCGTCCCTATGTCCCCCGAACCTGTTAGACGATTCTCATCCTATAACATCACACGAGGCCGTGCTGTCTCGCCTGTCGTCAGTAACTACTTTGGACTGCCGACTGAGCGCGAACCGGAGAAAACTTCATCAATGCCCTTCTTTGGAGGTCCATCTCGTGGCGAGAATGAAGACTACGGCGCATTGAATTTCTTGAGCAAGAAGCTTACATACCGATATGGACTGTTTGGCGGTGAAGCTAAATCAACTGAAAACATATCGGAAGCTGGGAAAGAAGAAGACGACGGAGAGTCTTCTGACTCGGCTGAATCGGATGATTCTCATGGTAATGAGGATGATGACGAAGAGGAAGAGGAAGATCAAGATCAAGATCACATCCAAATTTTCGGCCATCAATGAGGCCGATGCAGCTCCCTACGTGTGAATCCACATGACCTAGTCGGCAGTGAGTTATCGTCCTGGGAAATGTGACCCAAAGCTATCTTTTGCTCTCATCACCCCTGGTCAAACCATGCACCGAGCAATGAACACTATTCAACCCTTGACCACAATCCTGCCCAGTCCATGGGTTCGATCTCAGAAGCATCTCTAAACCGGTGCCCATCCCCCACTAAGTTGCACCGTAGGATAGATGAGGTCCTTCCAGGCCGATTCAAGTTTTCTGTGCTGAGATGATAGCCCCGTCTTTTGTGTACCTTTACACATGTGATGACTACAAATATGCGTTTGATCCGATGATCCGAGGTTCGACACAATCAACTAAGCAAAGGCCAGCTCAGCGCATTATGGGGATGTTGGTTTTACATACATCAAGCAGCCGGCTTCGCTGCAGCATAGCGTTCACTTCTTTTTTCTGGTTTCAAAGCACACTGGTATCATGACGAAACGATAGCAATTTGATTGAAAAGTTCTATCTTACACTAAATTTCTTCATTGGTCATCTGTAGTCTCGGTGCCTATACCAACTTCCTGATTGAATCAAACAGAAGACCTCTCTGGTCCCTGGGAAGGACGGTCTTGAGCAGCATCCTCCACATGAGCCGCTGGAGCCTTTTCTCCTTCGTTCATGATGGCTATGGCTTCACGTTTCTCAGAAGTTCCTTCAGATTCCCCAGCCGCTACATTATCCGGACCCCCAAAGATCGTGTCCATTCGCTCTAAAGATATGCCCTTGGTTTCGGGAAGAATGAAGTAAACAGATATCTGAATCAACGTATTTGGTCAGCGATTAGAAAAAATTATATAGGACTGCACCTGGACTTACCCCAGCGGCCACATTCAAACCAAATAGTAGCCAATAACTGTGACCCCCGACTTTCTTGTTGAAAGATGGCCAAGACTGCGTGAGCATGATAAGCCAGCACGTTTGGCCAAGCATCGAAAGACCAAACCCCTAAATGAATGCTGTCAGCGATATTGTCAACTGCTAACTACTTTCGCTCCAACCAACCTTATCTCTAACATGCTGAGGGAAGATCTCTGTCACCACTGTCGGGGCAATAGGGCCATTTGACCAGCAGTACGTCAAGCCAACAATGAACAACATAGCAACCTCGACGATGGCAGCCGCCTGGTTCTTGTTTGTCGGGTAAGCAGTTGTAAGACAAGACATGATCAAGAGTGCCAGGGACTGAATAGCAAACCCAGCAAGTAGTAGGCCTCGTCGGCCAAATCGGTCAACTGTGAATGTGTTGACAAGCACGATGAGCAACTGAAGGACAGACTGGATCCCATTGATCGTCAACGCCTGCGATCCTGAGTCCCATCCAAGACTCTGGTAGATCAACGTGGCATACATAGTAAGCGAAGCAATACCACCACACTAGATAAGACTGTCAGTTGTGCCACAAGATATGCATGAAAAGAGGAACATGCCTGTTGAAGACTTGCAGCAAAGATACCATAAAGCAAGCGCTTGCGCATACTCTTATCTTTGAGAAGCCCAATATACCCCGTCTCATATCTACGCCGGAACTCATACGAGGCAACGAGCTCATGGAACTCCGTCCGGATACGTTCGTCAGTCGGCGCCCCCGATCTGAGTCTGCTGAGGACTTTCAGAGCCCGTTCGGGCGTCTCTGGGTGCTTCTCCAGTATGTATCGTGGGCTTTCTGGGTACCAGAACGAGATCACGATAAAAGCTATCCCGATAGGGATCTGGATGGCATTGGAGACACGCCAGGCGATATTGTAGGGCGACTTGTGGAAGGACATTCCATAGCCGGACCAGAAGGCGATCAGGGTACCCAACTGGTAGCCAAACTGGGATACTGTTCCGACAAAGCTGCCGCGGAGCTTGGTGGGTGCACACTCGGCGACATAGAGGTTGGTGGCGATGAATACGCATCCAAAGCCTAGACCGCTGGTTGAGCGCAAGATAGTTAGCAGTGTCAGTGATTTCAATGCGATTTGTGGGACTTACGTTAGGAGTCTTCCAAAGATCAAGATTCCAAAGGTATTCGGGACAACTTCGACAATACTATAGCTGGTTAGCGGCTTTCCATACATGCATCCATGATTCAATCTTACACTCCGATGACCATGATGCAGATGGAGACTCGTAGAGCCCAGAGACGTCCAAGCCATCCAGCAAGGAAGGCTCCCAGCCAGAGTTGGGCGAATGCTGGGATGTTTTGTTAGTTCTAAAATGAACTACATCGAAGGTAGAGAGAGCTTAGTACCTGTCATCGCCCAGGGGATCGTTGCAACCATGCCCGACTTATTGTCGTCGATATCATAGTATTCGATGAACTGTTTATCGGCCAGAATCACTGTCATAATCCCAGCATCATATCCACTGAAACAGCTTGAGAAGATCATGCCATACAACAGGAGGGCCGCAAAGCTAGAGAAACATCAGCCAAGAGTCCCAGTAAAGGTGCTTATTACTTTCTTACCGGTCATCCTTGGGGAGAAATCTTTCCACGATACCCATTTCACTGACAGGATAGCTAGAGAATAGGTCAAAGCACTAAATAAGGAGAATATCTTATATACACCATACCGGAACTCCACATTTTCGGGTCGAGCTCATCCGTGTGGAACGCGGAGTCCCCAGAAAATCAAAGCGCTCAAAGATCCGGGGAAAACAGGGATTCAAGACCCTTTAACTTGTTTTGTAGTTCGACTTCTTTTCTCTTTGGCCCCCATTCTCTTGGCCCCGCCGGAGGGTTGTCCGCCGGAGTGTCGGCCACTGGAGTCCACAGCCCTAAATACCGGCGGGGACGGGTCAAGAACTCGGCGAACGTGGGGCCCAGATGGGCATTTAGGGTCTCAAACTCCGAAGCGGGCTTTCCGGGAGCGATTTTCGGTAAATATAAGAATACGGGAGAAGAATTCAACTTTGTTTCTTTGAACATTTCATCATGGAATACCCCCAAGAAAGCTTCGTTGCTACCACCTTTGCCCCAAAATCATTCTGGGCCCGTCGTCGGGAAGTAGTTCGGACTCAGACACTGCGGCATCAGCTGCAGATGCTCAGAACTACTGGAAGATACGATGCTTTCAAATTACAATGGCACCCAAGCTACTCCGATCCTCCCACAATGTGGCCAGTCCCTAACCACCAATTCTGGGATTCTGATATCGGAAAGTGGATTGAAAGTGCCTGTTATTTGCTGATGGATCATTATGACGAGGACATCGATGACGCCGTCAGGGAGCTCGTGCAGATGATACAGACTGCTCAGCATCCTGATGGCTACCTCAATATTCACTACTCGGTTGTTGAGCCGGGCAAACGCTTTACGAACTTGAGAGATATGCATGAATTGTATGTCAGAAAAGAATGTGAATCCTCGATGAAACGATGCTAACAGATGTCTCAAGATACAATGCTGGCCATCTGATCGAAGGAGCACTTGCCCACCGTCTTTATTATAAGAACGATGATATGCTATCTCCCATGCTGAAGTATGTGGACCTTCTGGCGGAAACCTTTGGAGGCCAAGACGCTCAGATTCCCGGGTACCCTGGCCATCCAGAGATAGAGCTGGCCCTTTTGCGTTTATACAAGGTCACAAGCAATGAAAAACACCTAAAGCTCGCCCAATTCTTCATTGAAGAAAGAGGCAATCCCACAGGAGGGAGAGAGGGGCGGCATTACTACGATGTTGAGTCCGAAGCAAGAGGCGAGAATAAGCGTACATTGCCCGTGTACTTTCCTGCTGCTAGGAGTTATTGGTAAGTTATGGTCTTTGCTCATTTATTTCTGCGGCGAGGGTACTCACCAATGTTCTAGGTACCAGCAGGCCCATGTGCCGATCGCCGAACAAGAAACTATCGAAGGACACTCCGTTCGAGCTATGTATCTTCTCACGGCGGTTGCGGACTTGGTTCGGATATCTAAGCCTGACAGCCAAGTGGGGGCAACTTTCCTGCCTGTTGTCAACCGGCTCTGGTCAAACATGGTAGAGAAAAGATCATATGTCACAGGTGGGATTGGTGCAATTAAGCAGTGGGAAGGGTTTGGTATCGACTACTTCCTGCCCCAGGGAACCGATGAAGGAGGCTGCTATTCAGAGACATGTGCTGCAATTGGTGTGATGATGCTGGCCGAACGACAGCTGCAGGTAAGTTGGGTTCTGATTCGCGAAATTTTATAGCCACTTACACAACAAACTTTCAGATTGAGCTTGACAGCCATTATGCCGATGTCATGGAGCTTTGTCTTTACAACGCTGTATTGACCGGGATGAGTCTGGATGGCAAGGCATTCACATATGTGAATCAACTGGCCTCCTCGGACAAAGATCTCTCCGAGCGCCATGAGTGGTTTGAATGTGCTTGCTGCCCGCCTAATGTCACACGCACGTTAGGCTATCTGGGTGGATATGTCTGGAGTCACAGCACAAACGAGCAAAAGGCCGTTGTCAACGTGCATCTTTACACTGCGGCCACTTTGCGTCTGCAGGTCTCGGAATCGGTGATTGAAATCACTCAAAAGACAGACTGGCCTTGGAACGGGGATGTCAACTTTACCATCCGTACCGAAGGGCCTCCCGTTGATCTTGAGCTGCGACTGAGGATCCCCGGGTGGGCAGAGTCATGGCAGGTGACTCCGCGTCCTGAACAGGATATTCGCAAAGGATATCTATATTTGAGCGCTGAATGGCTGCAGCAGAACTCGCAATTCCAACTTTCGTGTCCTATGCAACCACGCGTGACCAAGCCACATCCACTAACGATGCAGCCTGTGGCATACGTCACGCGCGGGCCAATTGTGTACTGTGTGGAGGATGCAGATCACCCATGGGAACAGAATCATTTCAAGGTAAAGCACAAACTTATCACCCATATGATGGAGTAACCCTAACGAATTGACGCAGATGACGGTCTTTGACCCCAAGGTTCCCCTACGAGAAGAGACACGATCTCAACCTGACGAGTATGTGGCTATTATTGCGAAGAATGGAGCCAAAGGTGAACTTGATACGTCGCCTTGGGATAGGCAGATTGTATCCGAGGGTAATGACCATGTTACTAGCGAGAGCAGGGACTTGTGCTTTGTGCCCTATTATTTGCGGGCGAATCGAGGTGGACGAGGACAGATGAGAGTGGGACTCCGAGTTAAGTAGAGATCTTATATGCAGAATAATAGATCAACAGTTCGTACAGCATACCAAGATCCCAAGCTATAAATAGTTAACCCTGATCTCCAGGGATTATCGCGCTTACATCAGCGTTGACGTTCTGCTTGCAGCCACGAGATTCCATTTCGAGCGATCTACGTTATATCAGGATGTCTGGTTTCATCGCTATTTTAGCTATTTTAGCTATTGATCTATTGACCTATTGAACTGATTCATTTCCTTTTCTTCTACTAAATTTCCCTGAAACAAGGCACGGATCCCTCCGCACCCCCAGCCAAGTGATGCGCATCTCTTTCGCTCCTTGATTTCCAGTCATATTCTAGATTGCTCCTTTTTTTTAAAAAAAAAAACCTACATAACTTGAATTCAGACTGGGAATCCTATAACCTTAGTCAACAAGTCCCCCGTGAACGCCCAGTCTCTTCCAATCTCTTATCAGTACAGCCCCGCCGATTCTCTCTTTGTCGCTTTATCAGCTCCGCGTCGCGCCCTACTATGATCCGTCGCAATTCCGACATCGAGATCCAGCTCCCGGATGCTGGACCAACACCTCTTACACCTGAATCCCTGAGTGATCTCGACGTGGAGATGCTCTCGGACGAGCCAACACTTCCTTTGAGTCTCCCGCCACACATCGCAGCCCGGTTCTACCGCAAAAGCAGCAAAGCCCGCCGTTCCTCTGCCGCCTCATCTCGACGAAGCTCAGTCTCCTCCTTGCACTCCCATAATTCGAACGCATCCTCGAATGGCTCGCCAAGTGCGGACCATATCGCTCAACACCTCCGCCGCACGTCCATTTTGGAGAGCCGAAAGGCACGACTCGCTGATCGCGCATTGCATGCGGAGAAAGTGAGGCTGCGAGCCGCTCTGGCTAAAGCGGCTACAAGAAACCTACAATTCGAAGAGAGAGCGTTAGCTGCTCAACAAGCCCGGGAGCGTCTACTCGCCGATATCACCGCCAAGTGCGAGGATCAGGTCAAACGGGCCAAGAAGAAGGCCGAGGATCATCGGGAGAAGAAAGCTGCCGAACAGGCTCGCTTGCGTCTAGAAATGGCGGAGAAGCTTGCAGACGCAGAGAAACGGCGCACATTATACCAGCAAACCCACCGCCGCCAGCGCACTAGCAGCTTGCCAGCCACCGAGGAAAAGAAGATGTCCCGAGAGGTCACCAAGTCGCTTACGCAGGATGCGGCTGCGCGGAAGATCCAACGTGTTTGGAGAACCCATAATGCAAAGATGGTTATGCAGCAGTTCCAGTCATTGAACCTGTCTGTCAACCGAGTTCGCGACATGACCTTTGAAGAAGTTGGCGCTCTCCTTTCTAATAACAAGCTGCTCGATACTATGACGAAAGTCATCCGACTCTGCGGACTGCAAGATATGGAAGGCGGAGCCTTGGGCGAGAGGGGTGCAGTACGCACATTCCTCAGCAGTTATCTCATTGTCACGCATCCGCAAGAGGTTTTGAGTAGCAATGGAGACCAGGAGCAAGATTTGATTGCAAAGGCTCGAGAGCTTCTGGTCGCGTTTGACCAGGTTACGGCGCTACTATCGTCAGGCTGTTGCTCTCCATCCGTGATCACTGCGGATCTCCAGATTTTGTGTGAATCACATACTGTGTTTTTCTCTGCATTCCATGCTTGGAAGTCCCACGACTCTTCTGTACTGATTGAGATCATGGTTGCACAGTTTGTCGAATTGGAATTGATTTGGCAGACGGTCAAAAACGACAAAGCTGGCGGTGCTGCAGAAGACTACAGACTGGGTATCCGACAGAACCAGGTTCTTTTGCTCGCCCGTCTGAAGAGACTTGCGGGACCTGACCGACACATGGAGATGATTCGAGATTCATTGAAGAAGGCCAAGCGCGAGAAGAAGAGGGCTGCCTCCAAGCAAGCTATTCCTCGGTCTGCTGAGGCTGCTCCTCCAACCACGGAGGCTACGCAGAGTGTCACATCGCCTCTTAGCGAGTCATTCAATAATCTCGATGCCGCAGTATTCCAAGAGCTGGACAAGCAGCGAACATCTCCCCACGAGAGATTCACCAAGATCCTCACCCCTCTACCTGAAAATCGGGAGCTGGTGCATGAACTTCTCATTAACAAAGAGTTCAAGATCGAGGAAGCACCGTATACTGAACCGCGCAGGCATATCATGAAGCAGATGTGCGACACAATGAGAAAAGGCGTGGAAACTGGACACGGTACCAACTGGACTGTGGCCATGGCCACAGTGATCCAAGATCGCTTGCTGCGCTCCCTCCAACGGGGCAATTCCCTTTATGTGATAATCAGTGAAGTCTTAGACCCCAAACTGGTTCAGGGACAGTGCGAGGCTGGCACATTCTCCTATGATAATTTCTTTGAATTCATGAACAACATCTTACCACGCCTATGTGCTCCTTACCGGGACCCTGTGGTCAAGGCGTACATTGAGGATACTTCTGGCGATTCCATCGACCGGCTGGCTCGACTGATGAGCATTATTGACCTGCTGTCACTTGACCAAACAAATTTCATGATCCAGCTTGCTGCGCCTCAGCTCATTGAAGAAGCTCCAGGTTATGAACAGCGGGCATTCGACCGAGACGTCACAGACCGGATCATTAGCCTGGGCAAGACCCGACGGTTTTGGCGCACTCATCGCAAGATCATCGTTGATGAAATGAAGAAGCGAGACCCGGAAGGCATCCAAGGGGAACCACGCCCCCCACCAGCACGAATCTACGCCCAAGGTCTTGCCGACACCGTTCTAAGCAATGCGATTGTATCTGAGGATCTAGTTCCAGAGACTCTGAGCCTCGATCGCCAACGCCTCGAACGGCTGCACGCCAGGGCATTCCAAATTGTAGCAACAGCTTCCATCTTGTTGACAGCAAAGAACCTACTTAAGCGAGACGCACGGTCTCAATGGAAACCCGAGGCAGATCGGATCCTATCTCTGGACTTCAACGAGATCAGTGCAGAGCGAGTACAGTCTATCCTCGAGTCGACCCATCCGATGCCACCCGCCGCGAGCGCCCAGCTCGCAGCTACCATCAAACGAGTGCTCGGACCCGTCGCCACGGCATGTCTTGCAGCCGCACCCCAGCTCGCGGTGGTGACTTCAGAGACCTCTGCCTCAGACACGTCCTCCGCGACAGACCCACAAGGAACCGCGACCCCCGCGTCTAGCTTCTCGGACCCGGTCACGAGACTCATTCTCTCTCGCCTTCGCAGCCACGTCCTATCGCGTCTCAGCGCATCGAGTGCCTCTGAACGGGTACGGGCTACCACCACGGCCAGCCAGAATCTAGCTGGAGCAGGTATGCCGGAGTTTGTTAATGAGGTTGGAAAGTTGGTGGAAGAATTAGAGAAGGTCCGGGAGGTGGATTGGCTTTGCCACGGGACGGTATATGAGGGTTTATATGAAGAAGGCGCTCCGGCACAATGAAGGCGTTTTAGAAGGGCATATATAATGCTGTCTTTTTTTATTGTTTCGTCCTTTTGTTATTTCCATTTTTGGACTTTGGAAGGTTGGACTTTGGACTGGGCAGATTGGCAGGGCAGGGTATACAACTAGTTTCTAGGGCTTTTGTATGGAGTAAATGAGACCTTTTTTTTATTTCTTTTCTTTGCTATCATTCATAGAATGTGATTGAAATGTTTTATATGAAATCCTAATATAAAATCTCCAATATAACCTAGAAGTTGCCTATATATCCTCCCTATCTAATCAGCCCCCCCCCCCCCCCCCCAAAAATCCAACCTCACTTCCCTTAACCTCTCACGTTAATCCCTTCAATCGCTTTAATCCTCACTGAGAAACACAAACCAACATGTCTCCAAAGGTCATCATAACACACCTATCCGACCTCACACCCCCTTCCCAAGAACGGACCTGGCTCACAGCCCCGCACCCCACTCTCCCAATAGTCGCAACCTGCAGTTCAGACAAGACCATCCGAGTCTATTCCCTCACAAACTTCACCCTCCTCTCCACAATTACCGGAGGCCACAAGCGCTCCGTTCGCACGGCAGCATGGAAGCCACACATGGCGGGGGAGTCCGTCCTGGCGACGGGCAGTTTCGACGCAACAGTCGGCATCTGGCGGCGGTGGGATAGTTACGGGCAAGAAGACGGTGCCGGGCTAGGGGTGAGCAGTGATGACAAAGAAAGCCCAGCCGATGGTTCGACAGAAGCTCCCAACGGTACCGGTACCGACACCCCAAACCGCGAAGAAGACGAAGAAGAATGGCGCTTCGCAGTCCTGCTCGACGGCCACGATAGCGAAGTCAAGTCGGTATCATGGTCTGCGTCGGGGATGCTGCTCGCTACGTGCTCGCGTGACAAGTCAATTTGGATCTGGGAGGATCTCGACGACGGTGATAACAACTTCGAGACCGTTGCTGTGATGCAGGAGCATGGGGGCGATGTGAAGTGCGTTTCTTGGCATCCTTCTGAGGAGTGTCTTGCTAGCGCGAGCTACGACGATACTATCCGGCTATGGCGGGAGGACCTAGATGATTGGGGCCAGGTAGCATGTATCAAGGGACATGAGGGGACAGTCTGGTTTTTGGATTGGGAGGGGGAAGATTCAGAGAATTGGAACGGGCCAATTTCTGATTCTGTTTCTGAGTCTGACCTGGGCGCTTTACAGGCTCAGTGGCGTTCCCAGACAGCTCTCTCCGGCCCACGCCTCGTCTCCTGCTCGGACGACCGCACTGTGCGCGTGTGG